GTACACGGTACAAACAAAAATCAAATGTAGGCATACGTCGTTATCATAAAATGTTCTCAATACCAGTAATAATTAATCATGCTTCTGAAGCGGTTAATACTAGGTTGTATATATGAGATTCGTAATATTTGATAATGATAAAAATTGAATAATCTACCGTGGGATCAGGAAACGTACGTAGATGATAAAAATTCATGCAATCGCTACATATTATATATAGTACAAAACTGAAAATATTGTGACATAATCACTAACTGAAATATTGAAAATATTTGTGTTACTTCGTTTGTATGGAATTTCTTTTGATTACATTTCATATCGAGATAGGAGCGAATTTCTACCTTTAATTCTTTTATTAAATATACAACACGCATCCAGTGCTTTTCACTTCCAAACAATTCTCTAATATATTTACTATAGATTATAAACTGAGCAAAGTTTACAATAAAATTGACAAGATTCATTTCTCTACTCTTATGACCTATATCAAAGAATTTTTAAATAAGTAAAATAGCATCACGACTCGGCATTGATTGGTTGAGTGATTGGAATTTAAAGTTATTTCCTATACTGAAAATTAGGTGAAATGTATTTGACAAAAGAAAGTTATACAGTAGAATTTGCAGAGAAGGGGGGGGGGTGTAAATACCAGGAAGCGGAACTTGTGTATGTATAACGCAATATATCGTGGCGTTCTCGCTGGGTTGTAAGTTATGAGAATGTAGTGTGTTTTGCATAATCAGCATTCATGGTTTCGTAAACCAAATCAAATAAAAACAAATCAAATCAAAGCAACGCCACTTGAATGCTGTCAATGACAAATTACTCTTTTGATACCGTATATCGTAGCTACACTCAGGAGGCGAAGGGCCTCGGCAACCCCTCCCCGCATTAAGGGGTTTCAGGAATTTTAGGGATGAAAACAAACTTAAAGTTATTGCAAATTGTTTGTTCAAGGATTAAATAGAAAGCTTTTTAAATTCATAACTTGCTTACTTTTAATCTGGTTTTCATTTACCGTTAACTGATCCACATTTCATCATTATTTCCTCGCTTCTCTTCTATTAAAATCAAATCAACAAATCATCAGGTTGCAGCTCCCTTTTAACAGTTATTGTGGCCCTCATACGCACTCCAGAAGGCCGAGCTTGTACTTCATCATTTCATCACAGGCTCCGGTGTCTCCGAAATGTAACCTGGTGACCGGAAGTCGGTCTACATCAGTGAGAAAGCCATCATCCGTTAACCACTTGTCTGAAGAACGGTAACAATTGCAGAGTGCAACTTCGCTGTAAGAGTAAGCTGAACAAGCAAATAAATAAAACTGATAACAAAAAATGATAAATAAATGCATGCTATAGTTTCATTATTAATGTGGTTGAGCGTTTACCTTTGCCAGATTCATAGAATTGTTTTCGTCAATAATACAAGATAAGACAATGCATAACAGAAGTAGAGAACAAAACATATTCGGGCAAACACGATAGCTCTACCCCCCGCGAATTTAATAAATGAAGTAGAAAACAGCCCCCCCCCCCTCCCTCTCGGCAAAACTATGGATGTATGCCTATTTGGGTAAGTAAAATGTGGCCGTACTCACATTGTCTAAGATAAGAAGTAGAGAACAGAATATCAATATTCTGGCATAACGCCCCCCACCCCCTCGGCAGAAATGTGCCCTTACTCCCATGAATCTGTGGAAGGGGAATAGGGATGATGAGAATTTGGTTCAAAGTGGGCACTAAACGTAAACTTTCTTCATCATCATCGAGAACAAAATAAGTCTTTCGTATTTTGTGTGCATGGCTGATCGTCAACGAAACGGAGTTAAGTCTTTTGTCAATTTATATTTGTTACTACGGCAGGCAGCCAGTAAAAATGCGTTTAATTATGGAAATGCAAGCATTATTTTAAACAAACAGTTATTCCTAGCTCAATTTTCCTGATTGAGGTGTCATTATGAAAGGGCATAAAATGAACTTTCTAGAAATGTGATTTTCTCTTTGAAATTCAGATACCGTCCGCCAAATGACTTTTTGGTATAGTTTTTTAAAATTGATTTTAATCACTCATGCGTAAAATATCATCATGTGAGTTGCATCAAATGAAAGAGGAGGATCGAAGTTTTAGAAATATGTGTCATGATGAAACATCGTTAATTCTTGGTTTTTTTTTCTGGGACGCACTGTATATAATAATTAAAACAATTGAAAAAATCCTCGAGAGTTCACTTCTTCACTATGAAGAAGTAAAATCTTAAGGGTTTTTATTTCAATTTTTTTAAAAATCATTATTTGTTATTGCCGTGATATTTCATTCCATTTTATTGATTTATATACCCACGCTGAAAACTCACTTCAGCTAGACGGCTGTAGTAGGAAGTACTTCTAATTGGACGTCATGTTGAACCAAACAAGTATATAGTAGGCCTATATATGGCTTCTTACAGCACGTTTCTGGGCATGTGGTATAAATTATCTCACAGATGTGAATGTACATTCTGGTTTAATGAGGATGCTTAATGAAGGTGTTATGATTAATTATAAATGTGACTGAGTTATAATGAAACATCGATAATTCTCGGTTTCGTGTTTTCTGGGACGCAATGTATTAGTGCCCTTTTATGAGGCATGAATCCCCATTACTGTCAGTTATGACTTAATGACGTGGGTCCCCTAGTTGATTAGCATAGTAGCACACACATGCTTTAGCAGTCACGCAAAACAAACACTCCCCAATTGTCATTCACTAAAATCTGAGAATGTATACTATTATCTAGATCTATTAGTATTACGAATAAATTATTGTCAAAATCATTTAATAAATTGGGGTAAAAATAATTATTCCACTATTATGACCAACAGCGTATAATAAGAAAGTTATGAATCATTAAAAATCATGAAAATCATGGAATCTTTGAGACAAATCGGCAACGAGGTCAGAAATTGTGATGTCATCATTTCGCAATACACCATGCTGATATGAATGACAGAATGACTCCAAATCTCAATTTCTCTGAATGTTAATGGAATAGTAGGGGGGGGGGTGGGGTATAGCCAAAAACCGTTTAAAACACTGATATACGATTAGAAATGCGCATTTTCAATTTTCCTAACCATGAACTCTTGACTAATCATCCATTATCATCTTTACAAAAAAATTGTTGATGTATTAAAAGAGAATACAAACTTTACTTATCCATAACAAAAAACTAGTCTACACACCATTGTTTTAGTTAGATAAGTACAGGATATGCATGCAATATGTACCGCTTATGAATAATACCACATAATTTAGATAAAAATGAATCAAAGAGCAGTAGATGATGTTAAATGTAACTACACTAAATGGTCATGATGATGATAATTACGAATAGAACTAAGGAAATGAAGCTAGAGAGAAGATGAAGTAGTAATGTTTTAATGAGAAAAGAAGTTTGAGAAAATTAATAACAACTATGAGTAGAGTTACACCTCTTTTGTTATGTGAACAGATGATATTCGTTTGGTTGTTTGTATGTATATAATTATGTGTTTCTATTGTACTTTATTTTACTGTCTTGTTGTTTGTATTGCCCGTTTAATACTGTTGGTGGAAAGCCTATTTCTACAATTGTGGAAAGGAATGAAAAAAAACATTATGCAGTACTATTATCATCATTATTATTACTATTACAATCATTATATCATCATCATCACTATCACTTTTTCACTTGAATGGAGCAATCACCTCCACCACAGGTATGACATATTCGCTGATTTTTCAAAAAGTGTGGACATAAGCCTGCCATACTAAATGATACACAGTAGGCTTACCCGATTCGTTTTATACAACTTAAAAGTAGACGGTCTTGTAGTAAAATATGCAAATGAGAGTGTATATGTAGGCCATTGTATAAGGTTACAACTGTGCGGCTTCCGCCTGATGATGTCAGCTAATGAGAAGGAAGGATTTCTCCCACAGAGACCTACCATTACTTGGGGTCATACTCCGCTCGCATAAATCCTCCAAATGCTAAATGAGCCTTGAGCTTCGGAATGATACTGTAATATCGATTACGGAATCGAGATGGATTTATAAAGGATACCGAAGGATATGTATAAGCCCATCTGCACGAGCAAGAATAGGCAAGCTTATGTTTGTTTCCATCGCTCTTGTCTTAACGTGAAGTCAATGAAATACAAATTGGCAACTCTATGACGTAGCTCCTCTCCCATTTGCTCTGTAATTGTAAACAATCTGAAACAATCAGAAATTTTGATTTTTTTTTTTTTTTCCCTTAAGAAAATTTTCAATCATACAAGTCATTTAGGCCTACCCTAAATATGATTATTTCAAAAATATTTCTATTTAACCCTTGTATGGGAAAGATCTATTCCATCATCAATAATAAAGAAAATGAAAGTTTATGCAATTGTATGTACAGAGCAGCGGAGCTCGCAAGATACTTCATATTTTTGCCAATTTATGTTTGATTGATCTCAACTTCAAAAGTTTACAATTTTCTTATTTTTAATCGGAACTTGATCAAACTTTCACTGGTCTGCTTCTCTCATTTTTCTACTCCTATTGAAACAAACTTATATCAGGGTGGACTTACCCTTGAATAATTCATGTTTTGATAAGTGCCACGGAAACGAACATAATCTTGCCGAGAGAGAGAGAGAGAGAGAGAGAGAGAGAGAGAGAGAGGGTGGGAAGGACATAGGAGGGACGAGAGTGAGAGGGGCGGGAGGGAAAGAAAGAGAGAGAGAGAGAGAGAGAGAGAGAGATAAGTCTGCTACTGCAGCCAAAAAAATAAACCAGCAATCATCTACCCTTGAACCAAATTTGAGATCATTTGTACATACATGCACATCCCAGAAAGAAAAAAAAAGTAAATGTTAATGAATACATTGTTTCAATCATTTTCAAAATCAAATTAGGACCCAATCTCACCATCATTAATTTCGCAATGACAATCTCACTCGTATAAAGAACAAATGAAAAGAATCACAGGGTTAAATGGAAAATAACAAGCAAGGTAGGTACAATTTATTATAAATGGTATTCAAACATACATCATGTCTTATGCACGAAAGTACGCATAGCCAATAGAGAAGTACATATGTATCTCTACAGCACTATCGACCCTACCACACTCACCATTTTGTGTACATATGCATAGAAGTGCTCTATGAAAAGGATGCAGCACATAATGATAATTATGAAACACTATCAATAGTCAATACATTAATATCAAAATAAACAATAATTATTTTAAACAATATCAACATAACACAAATAAAATGATTATGATTATGATTATGATTATTCCTCAAGATGTTCTCCCATTTCCAAAGAAATTCCATGCATAGCAGATTGTAACAATATGATATGATGCTATGTTAGACATGCCAAAGAATCAGATGATTTGAGCGACTACAGGAGGAACAAGCTGTTATGCAATACAATGTTGTATCATCATTCAGAGACACGAGGTAAGACAAACATAAAACCTACGTCTTAACTCTTTCCCATCATCTTCACCATTCCTCCTTCCTCATCAACTAGAAGCTCTTTGTCATTTTGTATTTGTATAACATAACGCATTCACAATGACGACACAACGTAAAACACCAAAATATTCCAAAACTAAAACATCACGGTAAGGAGTAAACTTATATATTCTTCTATTTACAAAATAAGTGTCTACCGATAAGAGATATTCATACATTCTTGTTGATTCTAGACTGCAATAAATGTAAGTTAGATATGCATTAATCACAGAACATTTTCGCAAGACATGACTTGTGATTCATGTGAAGACATGTAAAATTGTTACTTGTATCAATATCAGGTACGTCACTTAGAATTTTGTTTTTCTTTGACACATTAACAACTGAACTGGTTGTCTGAAGCTTATTTTTCTTCTAGATAGCTAATTCATTTATCGTTATTGTTAGTGAAATATAAGTTAAGCTGCTACAACTGCTTGAGATGACATCAATATAGAAATCAGTATTATTGATGTGATTTCATTTTCATAATTACTATGTCTACGGAGTAGATATATATACTACATGTTTTCATTCAGGGCAAGGTAAAGAACAGAAAGAAATCATTGAAAGAATGTATCACTGCTGAGATCGAAGTAAGCATTCATGCTACTAATTAAGAGTAGAATTGGCAACAAGGCAGAAAACAAAAGTGCCAAGGACTAAGTTGCAATTAATTCATGAACACACCCATTAGCATTGAGTGTGGGTGTATGACTGTGATTAGTGAAAATGAAACTGTCTCGAACAGGCTGATAACCTCATTAAAAGACAGTGTATATATACAAAAATAACATCATACAAAACATAATTTGCATACTGCCTTGTAGCACTGCAGGAGGCAAGCACAATAATCAATGGTTTATGGTACATTATTGAACACAAAATTGCCATCTATCTTTGTAACTCTTCTTTTTAAACAATATTTGTTATTAAATTTAAAATGTAGTACATTTTTAAATTTCTCAAACAGGTATATACTAATGCATTGGATCAGTATGTACGTGGCTACAAACATCAACTAAATGACTTCATCTTAAATTCTATCTACACATACTATGAACTACACGTTGTAAAATTTAAATTTCAATTGGATACGATGAAGCTTGGAAATACAAATTGATAAACCTCATGACTATGAGGTTTCTACACACACATACACATATATATCTATTATTCAGGAGGTGGGGTTCTATAGGAAAATGGAAAGACATGAAATTTCACTTCAAACAAGTTTGCACTTCGTTAACAGCTAACGTTACAGGGGGGGGGGGCAATAACACAGCTAGGAAATTATAACTTTTTTATGATGACATTGTGCAGATGATGTCATGCTAAAATATGTGAAGTTGTATTGTAAAATATTCAGCACGACGCATGTTTATATGTACAGTGTCCAAATTTCGGAGGATCATTATCATACTAATATACAGCTATATATATAAAAAGAGAGATTGTCTTGTGCAAATTCAAGGATAGCTGCACACCGGCGATTGTTGAATCAAGATACAAATAAAGACAACAAAGACTTGAATGTCAAGCCACCTACATGATGCGTACTACCAACATTTTAGATGCAGAAGTGTGTAAGAGTGTGTGTTTACTGTATCTGACAGTTTTCGTCATCATTCTGGGCCTCGGTAGTCCCTACACCTTGTGCAGTTCCTCTGCCTCTTCCATCCCTTGTGGATCTAGATGTCATGGCAAGCTCCCTGGCTTTGGTAGACTCCATACTCCTACTTTCCTTCAGTGGGCTGTTGGTAATGGTGGTCAAGGCCGACTTGTTGCCACTTTGACCCTAACGAGAGAAAGAAAAACAAGACAAGAATGTAAAGTTCAGATAAAAACTATTTGTTTTCAGATGAAAATTCTTACACATCAGTCACATGTATTGTTTCTAAATTCTATATACCGGTATATATATGTATCTTATGTAACATTGTCTATATGGAGCCACAATGGCATCGATTCATGGAGTTAACATCCTTGTGACCCCAAACAGATGACATGTGAAACCTGTCTGTTAACATCTTTCTACATTGTCAGAGCTGCCAAGTTGTATTTTGCATTTTCAGTATTCTCATCCCCCAAAATTAGTATTTTGACAAAAAAAATCAGTATTTCTTCTGCGTGAAAAAAATATGCATGCATATCGGCAATGTTTGATCACTTATTACGTTTCCATCTCACATGTAAACAATTATGTTGTACTAATCTCCGTGTATAAGACGCACTTTTTTGCCGCCGAAAAAATTTGGGGGTGCGTCTTATACACAAGTACAAAAACAAAAAAAAATAATAATAAGTTTCGATTTATGCCCCTCCACTTGGCGCTATGCCTGGCAATGTCACCCAGCTCAGTAATCGGTATGTTGACTCACCACTCGGAAACTAAAACAACACTCAAATTTGTCTGTCATCTTGGTTTGAAAGTAATCTTTCTGAAAGATCTCCAAATGAAGTTTAAAATAATAATTCCTCCAATTACACATGGCGTACCACAAGGTTCTATCCTAGGTCATTTACTGTTTTTTTTAATTTTAGATTAATGATCTTACACATTCAACTCACTATGAACATGACAGACAAAGAAAGCGGACAAAATATACAGTTCCTCAGGTAGACAAAGGAACATCCCTTCACTGCTATTATGTAGAAAGGTGAATATGCATGTGACACCTGTTCTACACATTTTTACATAATAGCAGTGAAGGGATGTTCCTTTGTCTACCTGGGGAACTGTATATTTTGTCCGCTTTCTTTGTCAGTCATATTCATAGTGACTGCACCTTGCAGTTAAATGAAAGTTCTTCCCGGTGTTTTTTTTTTTTTAACACAGACCTGGCTTGCTACCGACAGAATTTTTTTATAAATCCGTATTTTAACATGAAAAAACGTATGTCCGTATTTTAAGTTGATTTCCATACGGAATACGGCCAATCCGTACTACCTGGCAGCTCTGCATTGTGTATCACGTATTCCATTATAGATTTTTGCATCTATACAATTGTTTTCACTTTGGTTATGTTAAAACAACTCTTAAAAAATCTTTCAATGATATCAATGTTATATCTTGTTTATGTGTTTTGTTTTGTTTTTACACAAGAGAAACATGTAATATGTCATTCAATTTGTTCTCAATTATTGCATGCTCAATTACTGCAGAGCTACAGACCAAAAATTGAACATTTTCTAAATTGATATTCTGTAGACTATTTGACACGGGTGACTACCAAACGTACCCTGAGACTGAGGTTAGAGAGATGGCTGCGGGTGACCCTCTTGCTAGACGTGTTAAACACCCCATCCTCACTGCCCTGACTGCTGGGTACCTGGGTGGAACGTGGCTGGCTACTGGAATGCTGCTGGGTGGTGGACCTCTGACTAGCAGCAGTACTCTCCTGGATGTGGTTCTGACTGGCTGACCTTCTCAACCTGGTGCTCAAACCTGTCAAGGGATGAGAAGCAACAACATGCTTGAAATACCACTCTGACTATCACCAATAATTAACAGTTCTTGTATATAACTTCGTATTATTGTAATATAACATCCCTATGAGCTTTCACAGGGCTATAGATAATATTAGTTTGGCCTTGGCACAAGTAGCCAGCATTCGGTGCATTTCATTTAGCACCTGGGTAGAGAGATAGAGAGAGAGACAACTATAGAAACAATACCTTGTCTAAGGACATATCCATTGGGCATTGATTCAAACCTTGCATCTATACCTGAGGCAACCATCTCTCACAGTAAAAAATGATTATTACTGGAACATAGAGGAGGCAACTGTAGAGGAGCAATAATCGTGTAACTGCGAGATCCTGTGTCTGTAAAAAAGTCCATGAGCTAGTGTCCTTTCGGTAGGCATTAATTCTCAACTGTCAAGTTCCTGACAAATGACTTAGAGCCCCCATCCATTGGTTGCCTATACATGCTTCCTTAGCAGTCAGTGAGTCAGACAAAATAAAACCATCAAAATATCTGTTGGCAATAGTGAAATTGTTTTGTTTTCTTACTAATCTTTAGGTTCATCATGAATGTTGATTTCATATCAGCTGGAATTTATTATAATTGCAATGACCAACAACTGTCTAATCTGATACTGCGATCTACGTGGTTCCTAACCAAACAGAATTGTATACAAGAATCATGTTAACCTACCAGACTGTGACATAGAGACCTCTTCCTCTGTTTCGGTTAGACTTGGGAGATCATTCTTGCTCCTCTTGGCCTCCTGACTCCCACTAAGATGCCTAAGACGCTTTGTGCCAACCTGAGTGCTCTCCTCGTCCTGAAGACCAACATCTGTGGACGGGTCCCTGGAATACCTTCTCTTTGACAGCCTTGTCACTCGACGTCCTGGACTAGGGCTTTTGGACTCTGCAAATGTGGTCTCAGATGTGGTCTCCATTTGCCTTTCTTGTGATGCTGCCAATGTGGTGTTGGTATTTGAAGGTACTTTCTTGATGGGGGATTCAGCCCTTACTGCAAATTCAACTGCAGCAGACTCCATGGAGATTTTCTTAGCATCAATGCTCTTCTCATCTTTGACACTACTGTGTCTCTTTGTGGACAGTCTTGTACGTCTGTTGCTTGGACTTTGTTTCTCCTGCACCGGAGCAACTTCATCTTTATTTATTTCTGGAACAGTGTGCTTTGCAGCTGCAGCTGGACTAACATTGTTTTCGGGTGCCTGCAGCTTTGCCTCCCTTTTCTGCACTAATTGCTTGAGATCTTTATTGAGCTTTGCATTTTCTTCCTTCAAGTCAGTATATTTCTTACATGCTATTTGGAGCTTGAGTTTAAAATCTCCTGCTTTTCTTTTCTCTTGTTTAATGGTACTGCTCGCTTTCATATATTGGTTCCGACTGTACACCAGCTCCTCCTCCTTCTCTTTAAGTTCTTTTTTAAGGATTTCAAGGGCAGGAATTTCTTCTTTGCTGTCTGAGGATGCATTACTGCCGACCTTAGCCTCCAGATCAGAGTTGGTTTTACGGAGGTCCTCAAAGTCTTTCTGTAGTTTCTTGAAGTTTGTCATAGACAGTTGCAGTTTGCCCTGGTATGATTCTTTATCTGCAGTCAGTTCTTTGACTTGTTTCTCCAGCTTCTTTACTCTCTTAGAGTCAACCTCTACTGCAGCTCTGGAATCCTGACAAAAGAAAGAAAATACAAAACTAAATTTCAGAGGATGTGTACATAAATTCTTTATCTCTAGTCTAGGAGAAGAAACACTGACTCAGCCTGTTTTAACAGAGATTAACAATTTAAAACAACAAAGGCATTGCACATTTTTAACTTGAGATTTCATCATGGAATACGAGTTGGAAATCAGCTATTTTTTTTCCATTAATAAAAACCACCAAACTGCTTCACGGTAATTCTTATTTCCATAGACAAAACACTTGTGTGTCAAAATTAATTAATGATTAACTTTGACATATATTCACCTATTCCTAAATGATTCTCTCAATAGATCACTGGGGAAAGGTTTTAAACTTTTATCATTCATGGCATGCTAGCCATTCCTTTGAGCTTTGAGTGACTATTCCACTCTTTTGAGCACTTATTCAGGCTTTGTTGAACTCACCTCTTGGACCTTGGAAAGCTTCTCAAGGGCATTGACCGTCTCCGTTTTCTCTTCTTCAAGCTCGTCTCTCAGCTTTTCGCAGGTAGCTTCCAGTTTCTTGATGTCTGCCTGGAGACAGTCGTTTGGCGTGGCCTCCTGCTCGACCTTCTTCAGCTTCAGGGCCAGGTTCTTTACGGTCTGGTCTGACTTCTCAGCCAGGAGCTTGAGTTCCTCACACTCTGCTTTCAAGCAATTCACCTCCTCTTCCTGATATAGGGAAAGAGACATTGCATAATACTAATTCATTATTCAATTTTCAAATAATCCTGAAATTACAATTTATAATTTGTCAGTGGCATTATGTTAAAGAAGCAAATCATGTAATTCTATATTCAGGGTTATGGCAATGGTAGCATGACACAGAAAATACACCTTCAGCATCTTTAACACTTTCAAGAGTGAATTAGGTACTTGAGCTTTAGACAAACATCATAAAATCTTCTCTCTTTTTTAAAGGAAAACAAAAAGAGGAAAAAGAAGAAAGTTTGAAGCATGGCATCAAGCCATGCATGCTATTTTTTTCATGTTTACCCCCTCTACTGGAATTGAAAAAGAATAAAAGAAATTCTACTTACATATTTCTTGCACATCTGAGAGGAATGGGTGAGTTGTGTATTCAGGTCATCTACAGTTGCCCTGAGCTCCAACAAAGTCGATTCCAGGGTTCTGGTTTGTTCCATCTTAGCTTCATTCTCCAGGCGGGCCTCCTCCAACTCATTCTCGAGGGACTCCACTGTCTTTGTATGCTGCAGACAAAATGGAAAACAATCAATTAAAACAATACTCGTAATTGAATCATCTATTTACATGCAAAATACAAAAACAAGGCAGATTAGCAAGAAGTAGCAAGAAATACAGGAAATGATGATTTTTGTCATCAACCCATCAGCCTGTAAAATGGCTTCAATAGCCAAAAAAAGCTGACGATAAAAACTTATCTATAAATTACCCAGACTGGCATTAAATGTGGGGCAAATAAAAGGTTTTGGCACCAAATTCAGATGAGAGATATTAACAAGAAATTATTAAGTTAAAACATATAGGCAAATTACAAGTCAGATATAATGGAAATTGATAATAATAATAATAATAATAGATTTATATAGCGCAGCTTTTATACAAAATATATTCAGCTGCGCTGGTTAAGAGCTCCTTTTTACTAAATTCTACAAAATAAGATCACTCAGTTGAACAAATAAGTTTTTAAATTGGATTTAAAAACATTGAGAGATGGAGTGCTTCTTATTTCTATTGGCAAGCTATTCCATAATTTGGGGGCGGCAATAGCAAAAGCACGGTCCCCAAGAGTTACTTTAGTTTTGCCATGGACAAATGAGAATCAATAAAGGGAGATGGCATCCCATTCATACTTGTTTCTTAAGATCTTCTATCTTAGCTGTTCCCTCCTCTTCAGCTGTTTGCAACCTCTGCTCGTAAGCTTCCGTCTCCATACTCTGGTCTCTCTGGGCCTTCTTCAGGTCGCTGTACATCTGTTGCAACTGTTTGTCCACATCCTGCTTCTCACTCACCATTGCTTCAATCTCCAACTAGAAAAGAGAACAAACAAATAATAATGTGATATTCATAAAAGGCCTGTAAGGATAATGTAAAGTTAAACTATTGAACAAAGGAAAAGAATGTAAAGACTTTTATCGAAAAGCTGAACTTATCAATGACTCTAGAATGTACATTTGTAGGCAGTTGGGTTAGTGATGATTGGTTAATAAAGTTGAAGAACAATAACATTTTCCAGCATCTTTGAACAAATTTATAGGATTTATTACAAATTGCCTGAATATACGGGTATCTGAAATTTTGTATCCATCAATTAAGTATCTATCATATATATATATATATGGCCATTTAGGAGCAAATTTTATTGTTTACACACAAAAATGTGAAATCTTATGTTTCAGTAAATCTGTACAGTGCTTATAGACATTGTGGATATATAGAAGTAGAGCATTCCTATTATCATAATTATGAAAAAAGGGCTATCCTGCTTGTGAAAAACTGTAACCACAGATAATATTTACCTTTCTACTTTCTCCTTCGTCCAAAGCAGCTGCCAGCTTCCATTCTACCTCTCTGACAGCTTGCTCATGCACGCCCTTGGAGCCTTCCATATCCTGGATGCTCTTCTGGAGTGTTTCAATGGTCTTTTCCTTCTCCTCAATCTCAGGCTGGAACTGAGAAGACTCCGTCTCCAAGAAGGCATGTGTCTCCAGCAGAGTGTTGTATTTCTCCTCCATCGTAGAAAGCTCCGTCTCCAGGTCCTGGATCCTCTTCTCCAGGTCAGAGCCTTTGGTTTGCTGGCTCTGAATCTCTGCAGCCAGAGTCATCTCCACATCTGAAAGCTGGGTCTTCTCAGACGCAAGGCTGTCAATCTCGACCTGAAGGTTAGTGTTTCTCTCGTTGAGGGCGGTCACCTCTTGGGAGTAGTCTTCCAACCCAGATGATGCCTCTTTCAGCTCCTGATCTATGCTCTTTAGCTCTCCTTTCAAGCCATCTATAATCTGATCCTTTTCCTCTGCACTCTTCTCTGCAATTTCCTTATACTCTTGCTCCTTCCTATTCAAAGCTTCCTGTTTAGCTAAACTCTGCTCCAAATTTGTCTTTTCTTCTTTTTCTTTGGAGATGTTGATCATCAGAAGCTCGCATTCCTCTCTAGCTTCTGTAAGCACCCTGACATGTGTAGCCATCGCATTTTCTACATTGTCTTTGTTCTTGCTCATCTCATCTTCAAGTGTTGCAAGATTTCTCTCAACATCACACTTGAGTTGTTCTACCTGATGCAGTTTTTCTTCAGCTTGCTTCAGATCATTTAGCAACTCAGACTTCTCGGCTTGCAGAACCTCTTCGATGGACTTGCTCTCTTCTAACTTGGCTTCGGCAGCTTCAATCCCTGACATGAGATGTTTTGCTTCCTCCTGGGATTGCATGAGGTCATTCTTAACTTCTGTGACTTCCTGGTCTTTGGCACAGATCTCGTCCTTGAGGTCACTGATCTCATCGCAGAGCTGATCAAACTCTGATTTGCTGGCCTCATTCATCTGAAGTTTCTCTGATTCATTACTGCTAAGCTGCATCTGAAGAGACTCTGTCTCTTTCTTCAAAGCATCATTTCTGGTCTGGAGGGAGTCCAAATCCTGCACCATGTCTCCAGTCTCGACCAGGAGGTTTTCTCTCTGGTTGTGGAGGGCCTCATTTTCTTCCCTCAGCTCAGCTATCTCCTTGTCCTTCTCGGCAATTTTAGTCCAGGCTTCCATTTCGTCTTGTTCCATGTTTTCTACGTCTTTCTTCCTGTTATCCATCTGACCTTCTAAGTCACTAATCTCTTTCTTCAATGATACAATCTCCTCCTTTCGGCTCTCTACAACTTCTTGAAGTTCGACCACCTGCAATTCTAGCACGTCTTTCTCTGTCGAATATGATGTGATCTTCTCATTCAATTTATTGTTTTCTTCAGCAGATCTGTTTAGATTCTCGTCTAATTCAGTCAGCTTGTGCTTCCACTCAGCAAGTTCTGCCATTGTTGATTCTATGGTTCCATTCTTTTCTGTCAGATCTCCCTGGTAATTTTGAATCCTTTCTTGTAATTCTGCAATGACATCTTTTAACTCTTGATTTGCTGTCTCCATTGACACAAGTTGATTGGCAAGTTTTTCATTTTCTGATGTAACCATATTATTTTGTCGTTGTTCCACAGAGAAATTTTCCTCATGCTTATTTTCCACAGCTCTCAGTTCATTCTCTAGAGATAAGACAAGGTCTTTGTGAACCCTAAGTTCCTCTTCAAGCATCTGCTTGCTGTTTTTGACTGTTTCCAGCTTCTGCTTCAGATCTTCAACAACAACATTCACAGCTCTGTCGTTTTCATTCAGTTGTTGCACATGCATCTGTGCCTTTGTAACTTTCTCTTCTAATGAGTGGATCTTTTCCTGGAATTGCAGAGCATCTTCCTCAAGAGCTGAGTTCTGTATCTGCATGAAAGCCTTGTCACTCTCCACCATCTCTTCTCTTGACTTGACTGCTTCCAATTCAGACTGAGCTGAATGCATTTGATACTCTGCTTCTTCCTTTGTTTGCTTGACATTTGTCAATTCTGTCTGCAGATCAGTAAGTTTGACATTGAGGCTTTCCTTTTCTGTTTCCAAGGCAATCACCTTTGATTGCAAATCTTCTTTTTCATAAGTGAAAGTCCCTTCATCATTTGAGTGTTTCATCTTCAAACTCAGTAGTTCTTCCTTAACAGCCTTCTCAGCACTTTCAACATCACTGAGCTTTCTTTGGGTAGATTCCAAGTCGCGTTCAAGTTTGGTCACCTTTTCTGCCTGGTTTTGCAGTTGATATTCCAGTTCAGCACGAACTTCAGAGAAATCCTTATCTGCTTTCATTATGGAATCATGCATTTCTCTGAGTTCAGCCTGCAGGGCCTCAATACGGTCCTTGGCAGCACGTACCTTTGCATCAGACTCGTTGTGAAGCTGCTTAGCTTTCTGAGCAGTCTCCTCATGACATTCTATTAAAGTGGTTGCCTCAGACATGTCAGCTTGAAGTTTGATCATTTTGTCATTGCTGTCTTGTAGCTCACCTGCAAGGCTAACTACTTTTTCTTCCTGATCAGAGAGATGCTTCTGCAGTCTAGTGTGTTCTGCTGCAACCTTTTCAGCTTCAACCTCTACAAGGTGTGCATGCTCATCTCTTAGAATCTCAAGCTGTTTCTGAAGTAAATCTACTTCTGTAGTGTGGGCCTCCTTCAACTTAGACATCTCCTCATCCTGCTCTGCAATAGTCTCGAAGAAGCAGCCTTTTTCACCGTCCCTCGATTCTTCAAGTGCTTGTATCCTCTGCTGTTGAGTCTCTAGAGCTTCTTCCTTGAATGCAAGCTGCCTCTCCAGGTTTCTCACAACAGTTTCTTGCTCCGCATGTTCACCTTCCCGCCTTTCTACCTGTTTTTTTAGTTCACCTTCCTGAACTTCCAGCCGTGTCTGTAAGTCTTCAGCCATGTAGTTGACTCTTTCACAATTAGCAAGCACCTCAGAATAGCCATCTCTCAATCTATGATTCTCCTTCTTCAACTCTGTGATTTCTTCTTGAAGTTTGTTTTCAAGATCATCTGAATGATCTGATCTTCTTTGCACAAGTTCTCTACTCTCTTCAAGATCTGCGACCAACTGAAATTTGTCTCCATCTAGTCCTGATATCTTCAGCTCTAGTTCAACATGCGTTGACTTGGCCTGTGAAAGATCACTCCTTGCTTCCTCTAATGAGAACTTAACATTCTCAAGCTGTTCTGCCTGCCTCTGGAGCTCACTGCGTGTTTCATCAAGTTCTGAAGACAACTGATGAATTTGCCCATTCAGGCCTATGACTTTCATGTCAGACTCTGTCACTGTAATACTGGTTTCATCAAGTTCATTCTTCAGCTCCAGCATGGCTTTCTCTGATGTTTGCTTGTACAGGGCATGCTTTTCATTCTGGGACTCCATCTCAGTATTTTTCTCTTCCAGTTCATCTTTGAGCTTCATGATCTCTTCGTCCCTTAGCTCTCTGACCTCCCTGACGTCCGTCAGTTCATCTCTCAGCAGATTGATCTCGTGCTCCTTCGATGCTAGTTCTGAATGCATGTTCCTCTGGCTGTTTGAGAGTCCTTCTTCAACTTCATCCAATTCTATCTGCATCCTTTCTATCTCTCCTTCCCTGTCATTTAGATGTTGATCCAAGTCACATATTTTATTGCCCTGCTCATCCAGATGTCTCTTCTGGGTTTCCATCTTCAGAGTAAGGACTTCAACTGTCTTCTCCAACTCTGTTTTATTTTCTTCCAGGGAAACTTGTTCTTGTTTGGATTGCTCTAAAGCTGTCACTGTCTCTTTTAGGGCATCTTGGGATACACTGCCCTCGGTTTCAATGTCATTGATATTATCTCTGAGCTCTCGGATTTGAGTCATTAGGTTCTCTCTTTCTGAATCAGCCTCCTTCTGCAGCTCTTCCCTGCTGTTTTTCTCGGAATTTAATTCAGACTGAATTGAATCTAGAGTTTCTTGACTTGCAAGGAGAGATTTTTCCTGATCTGTGACAGTTTGACGCAGGTTCTTGACCGTCTCGTCAGCATTCTTCTCAGTTTCCTTCAGTGTTGTTTTCATTTCATCAATAGTCTGCTGTAGAGTCTGCTCCAGACTTTCAGAAGACAGCGTCATTCCTGTCGGGAAGTAATGAGATTAATAAAATCCTGTTAAAAAAATATATTTACATTTCTGTAAACATCAAAATATAGGTATTAATTGGAGAAAACAGTTTTCATGTTGGAGCTAAATATGAAAGCGTTGAGAAGTACATACAAAAATGATCAGCTCTTATCAAGCATCATCAAAACTAACTTGTAAGATAGTTTAATTTCTTTGAATACTGAATATTTTAGATTTATGTAATAAAAAAAAAAAAATTATAGCTATTTCTTGATTCTAAAAACTAGTTGACATTTTTTTTAAAGGGGTAATTTTCCACTTGCCAGTGAGTCTTTCATTGTCCTGTTTCAACCCGTCTAAAGCCTGAGTTAGTCCAGCTAATTCTTCTTGTCTAACTCTCAAGAGCTCAGCACTCTTTTCATTCTCCGTCTCAGCAACTGAAAGCTTGCCCTCTATGTCCGAGAGGCTATTCTGCAATGTGGAAATCTGTTGCTCGGTAGTATCCTTCAGTGCTTCCAACTCCCCACAGAGTTCCGCTGCCTCAGATTCCCTCTTCTTCAGAACATCCTGCAACATTTCATGTTCATTGTTAGCAGATGAGACATTGCTCTCAAGATCCCTGACCTTCAACTCCATTTCCCTCTCTCTATTATCTATGAGACTGTGTAATTCATCAAGCTCCTGGCTCTGGTGTTCTAGAGCAGATTCTTTTGTTTTCATGAGCTCCTTGACATCATCATGTTGACGGCAAAGCTCAGCATGCGTCATTTCAAGGTCTTTGAAACTCTCTATGTTTGCATTCACACTTACTCTCATCTGTCCTAGCTCTTGGTCCGATGATTCCACCCTTGAAGCCAGTTGACTCAGCTCTGCCTCTTTCTGACTTACAAGCTGTTCCTGATGTTCAAACTTGAGGGTGAACTCTTCATTGCACCTGGTTGACTCTTCAAGACTCTTCTCCAATTTACCGACGGCTGTATCAAACTTTTCCTGTAAGTCATTGAGCTCCTTCTCCAAACAAAGAACTTCATCACCTTTTATTTTTAGTAAACTTTGGCTGTCTTCCGTCTCCATCTCAAGTAATTTGAGTTTCTCTGCTGTTGATTCCTTCTCTTCTTGAAGTTTTGAAGCTCCTTCTGCGAGGATGACCACATCCTGCTCCAGGCTTGTGACCTTGGCTTCAAGGCTAGCAATCTCTTCATCCTTCTTGGAGGTACTACTTGATGCTTGTTCAACCTTCTCTGAGAGTTGACAATTTGAAGCCTCAAGTTCCTGAATCTGCTTTTCAAAAGATCTTGTCTGTTCCTGGAGGACTGCTTGGAGCTTGTCCAGTTCAGCTTGGATGGATTCTATCTCATCCTTTCTTACATTGAGCTGTTCTGAGGCAACTTCTAACTGCTCCCCAAGGATATTATTTGTCTTCTCCAATTCAGAGATGCATGTCGTGTCCTTCTCAGCTTGTGATGAGAGCTTATCTAGCTGTGTTGCGCTTGCTGCCACCTGCTGCAGTAATTCCTCAATTTCCCTGTTCTTGGATTCTCCAAGTTCTGTGGCAACTTCTAACTGTTCCCCAAGGATATTATTTGTCTTTTCCAATTCAGAGATGCATGTCGTGTCCTTCTCAGCATGCGATGAGAGCTCATCTAGCTTCTCTGCGCTTGCTGCCAGCTGCTGTAGTAATTCCTCGACTTCCCTGTTCTTGGATTCTCCAAGTAGCAGAGCTTGTTCTTTGCTCTCCTTGAGATTTTCCACTTCATCTTGAAGCTTTGAAACTTCCTCAGTTGACTGATCAAACCTTGAAGCAAGATCCTGGAGTTCTGTGTCCTTTTGTTCCTTTTCAGTCTGAAGATTATCCAGCTTTTCTTTCAGGCCCTCATGAGTAGCTGCAGGTGAGAACGAATTACATGCAATAGTAAAATATGGAAGTACAACAGTACACTACACATACAAGTATATTTTTCAAGATTATTTTCAAATCCATTACACAGACATTTAACTTCTTTCAAAAATTGATTTTTTTTTGCACCATTATTTTTCTCAATAAATATTCTATCCTTATAGCTTTCCAAATTTCTAGGCCAAAGTCATAAGTGTATTTGAAAATTAATTGTGATTCAAAAAGATAAATGTCCTTTGCACCATATAGTCTATCTCTCAAATAAAACAAATTAAACACAAGAGGGGAAAAATTTGTTATCATAGACTGTCAACTGTGTTTTTTTTTACAATTTTAAATCTTTACCTATCACTTTTATGATATAATAGTAATAAACTTAACTAGCTAACTTCACTTTTGTAATTAAAGCCAGCCATGGGAGTGACACCCATGATGTTTTCAAATGGGCAACTAATAACAAATTGTAAACAGTTATAACTAAAACAAATGAAAATAAAAACAAGGGAAACGCTCTCGGCGGTCTCGCCTGCATTACGCGATTCGATATGATGAAAAATTGAGGTTGGAACATTATTTATAGGTAGGGTGGCCTATTAGCAGGCACCCAAAAATGAAATCCTCTGAATATAATCAGCATTTTGAAATGAATATTGATTAAGAATCATGATCTCATATTAAGTTGTGAAAACATAATCCAAGTCTACTGACCTAAAATGACCTTTGAACTTGTGACCTGGAATTTGTTTCATATGACTTGTGATACTTGATAACCCTTGGGTACAAGTTTCATGAAATTTGAACAAACACTTTTGAAAATATGCTAAAAATTCAAAAATCTTGATGTTGACGCCACAAAAAAGTCTAAGTTTGTTGACCTAAAATGACCTTTGACCTTAACTTAGTGACCTGAATTCTGCTCACATGATTGGGGATACTTGATTACCCTATAGTCCAAGTTTCAATGACTTAGAACTTATACTTTCAAAATTATATCAAAAATTCAAAAACTTAACCTTAGGTTAAGTTTTCGATAATGATGCCACAGCATAGTCCAAGTCTGTTGACCTGAAATGACCTTTGACCTTGACTTTGTGACCTGAAATTAAAGTCACATGATTGGGGATACTTGATAACCCTATAGTCCAAGTTTCATTTACTAAGGACTTATTCTTTCAAAATTATATTAAAAAATGCAAAAACTTAACCTTAGGTTAAGTTTTTGATGTTGACGCCGTCGCCGCCGTCACCGGAAAAGCGGCGCCTATGTCTCGCTTTTTTGCTACGCAGGCGAGACAATAAAAATGATCATTTACAAAGAGTTATATCAATCACGAATTCCCAAAGAGATTGAGCCCCAAAAGATAGCAGAAAAGAGTTGAAACACACAAGTAGTTGTTACATGTTTAAAATCTTACTTTTAAACTGCGATTCTTGTTCTTCAAGTGCAGCACTCAAACTCTCTAGGTCTTCTTGGAGACAGCAGAGCTGAGCTTCCTTCTGGGCTAGCTGCTGGTTCACCTCTTTCAGGGTGTTTGTGGCAGTCCTGAAATAATGGAATAAGTATGTATAGTTATAGGCTGCCCGGTACATGTGAGCTACTACTCTCGATGGATACTTCCAAGATAAAAGATTTATCACAACAGTGACCATACCAAGTATCATAATTAAAACGTTCCATTCATATTTTCAAAAAACTGCAAGCTTGATGTGTCTTCCAACTGAATGCATCAATTTTGGATTTCTTACGGATATTCACCAATCTACTATCAAAACAGATGTTTAGGCACTATAAAAGGCAGGTAATTTAAATTCCTAAAATATAATTTAAATGCATAAATTGTACTTCCAAAACAAAACAAAACTCACCGATTAGCAAATTCTGCATTCTTCATGCTTTCCTCAGTCATCGCGATTCTGTCTCGCAGCTTCCCCACTTCATCCTCTGAAGCTTGCAGCTTGTCAAAGAGATCTGTTACCTCTGCACCCTTGTCGTCTGCAAGGTCACAAGCCTTCCTGTAACTATCCTGGAGTGTTTGGTTCTCTTGTCTCAGTGTTTGCATGGCTGCCTCTAGGTTGGTGGTCTTGTCTTTGAGCTCAGCTTGCAGGGCCAGCACTTCCTCAGCTCTGGTCTCAAGTGCAGAGGACAGTGAGCCTTTCTCGTTGCTCAGTGTGTCAACCTTCTGCTTCAGCTCCTTGTGACTTTCTTGCATCTCCTGCAGTCTGGTCTCTCCACCTTTCAGCTCTTCTTCTGCCTTGGCAAGCCGCTCCTCAAGCAAGGACACCTCACTCTCTTTAGCACCAAGGGCTTCTGACTTTGCTGCCAACATGTCATCCTTCAGCTTCTCAAGTTTCTCCAAGTGGGCCTTGGATTCCTTCAACTCTTCCTGCAAATTGGCAACTGTCTTCTTCAACTCAACAGCTATTGCATCAAGTTCCAACTGCTTAGCAGACAACTCCTCGTCCTTTCTTTTGATAATGCTATTGCTGGTTGTGAGGTTGTTTTGAACCTCTGATATATTTTTTTCTAGTCCACACATTGCAGCATTCTTGCAATCAATGTCCTTTTCTAGCTGAGTAATCTGACCATTCAGGGAAGAGACTTCCATGGTTAGTGCTTGGACTCTTCCTTCGTTACTCTTCTGGGCATTCTGCAGCTCAATTTGCAGTTCCTGCATCTTTGCACTGCTCTCTTTTGCCATCTTGTCCCTCTGATCCATCTGGAGTTGGATGTTCTCGCACTTTGCTTGGTTCTCTCTGAATTTGGTCTCCAGTTCATCAACCCTATTCTTAGCCTTCTCCAATTCGCAATCACAATCTGCAATCCTGTTGTCTTTCTTGTCAAGCTCTTTCTCCATTTTCTTCTTCTCTTCAAGAAGCATGTTCTGTTGTGCCATGGCTTCTTTCATGCTCTTCTCTAGAGGTGCCATCTCTGACTTGATCTTCTTCACCTCATCCTCTTTTTGCTTTATCTCCTCTCCCGTCTTGTTCTTCTCCATCTCCAAGTGCTGGTTTTCTCTCTCAAGCTTCTCTGCCTTCTGCCCCTCCTTCTTGGCCAGTTCATTGGCAGAGTCGTGTTTGGACTTGGCATCTGCCAGCTGGATCTTCAAATTCTCCACCAGGTTGTTGATCTCTTTCACACGATTGTCACATTTGGACTCTAGGCTTTCCATGTCAAGGTCCTTCTCCATCATCTTTCCTCTTAAGTCGCTGTTGACATTTTCGCTCTGCTGGACTTCTCGTTTTGCTTTTTCCAATTCTCCTTCCACTCGCATCACCTTGCAGTCACTCTGTTCCGTCTTGAACACCAAGCCTTCTTTTTCTTTCTTTAGATTCTCAATGCTCTTGTTGAGTTTCTCAACAACTTGATCATGATTCCTCAAAGTTTGATCTGCTCCTTGTACCTGAAATTAAAAAATATTTAAAAAAAAAAACAGGTTAACATCAAATCACCAAGATTGGTGTCAATGCATGCACAATTAAATTCAAAAATAGCCACTGGCCAATATCATTACAGCTTTTCATGCTCTTCCATCATGGACCTTCCAAAAAGAATGAAAGTACTACTGCATTATTTATTTAGGAGGTTTGCAAAGGGGAGAGAAGCAACACACCTTCTGCTGCAATTCCTTGAGCTCGGCCTCCAACTTCTGTTTCTCAAAGGTAGCTTTCTCCATCTGCGCAGCCAGCTGGTCCTTTTCCTTGGCCAGTCGATTGACCTCCTGGGTGGATTTGGCCTTGACCTCGTTGAGTTGCTTGTCCATGGTGGTCAGGGTCTGGTTCTGCTGGGATGCCTCCTGCTTGTGCTCCTTCTCCCGTTCCTTGAAGCGCAGCTCCTGGGCCTGTCTGGCGGCTTCTGCGTTGTGGCGCTGGCACTCCAGTTCCTTGGTGATAGACTTGGTCTTCTGCTCCAGATTGCTCAGCTGAATCAGAGTGAACATTGGTGAGGATGAATTATGTTGCAATCTCTATATAAATCATGACATAAAGGTAAATACTAGTTTTGAAAACGCCCCCCCCCCCCTCTCAAAAAATGAAATATTAGCTCTTATTGCCAATCATGTGAAAGAATATGTTTTGACTAATACATGATGATACAAATTTTGCCGGGAAACCGCCTACTAAATGATATATTTGGTAAATTATCATATCGATCCGGCCTGGATAGATGTCACAAATGCATTTGAACATTGAACATTCGGGCAATAGTTAAACAATTGAATGGATATTGTGCACCCAAAACCCTTGAACAGCAATTTTACCACTACCGGTCTATATCTTTAAATTTAATTGTACAAAATTGGAATATTGAAATAGCACAACAATCATTATGGTACAATCACATGTAATTACACATTATTAATATAAACCGATGCTACATAATTGGTTCATGAAAGCTATACAACAAAAAGTTGTGTAATCAACCTTACAATCTACAAAAGATCAAGTTACAACATGTATTATGTTTTGCTTTTATATCATCATTTGGCGTGCACATCACAAGTGGGAGGGATAGTCTCCTGTGATTTCAACTTCTAAGTTCTTAGAACGCATCAAGAGTATACTAATATAATATTGTATTTCTCGACAACAAAAAAGGAAAAAATAAAAAAGGAAGAGAGATAATAATGGAGCCCATACCTGAAGTTTGCCTTCTTCAATCTTGCCCTTGAGGTTGTTGATCTCAACTTGTTTGGTGTCCAGGATCTTGATTCTGTCCTCTGCATCTTTCCTCATCTCACCAATGTCTTTCTTGGCTTCCTGCAGCTGTGCTGTGGTGTCTCGCAGCTCCTTATCCGTAGCCTGACCCTTCAGCTCCAGCTTATGGTTCTCCTGGGTAATGACTGGAGAGGCAACATTGAATAACATGGGAGAAGGAAGACTGTTAACCATCTTCTAATTCATCTTTTGAACTTTAATGGAAAAGTAAGGAATTGCACACATTGATTATCGATTAATTTGTCAATTTGTTTAAATGGAGGAAAATAGTCACACAATTAGCGAAGCAGACAATAAAGGGTGATAAGGAATAATATTTCTGATGGCATATTGATAAGACAATACATATTGATGACACAAAACAATACAATGTAAAAGAACATTCTCTAAGTTTAAAGTACATATGGTAATTGGTTGAATCGTGCCATCCACAAATAAAATTGTCTCTCATGTTTTTTCGGTGTGGGTACTTACAGGATAGGTAAAAATATACCTTTCCAATGTGTAATTAGAACTTACCCTCCTTCTTTTTCTTCAGGTCATTGACCATGGCCTGAAGCTCTGCAAGCTTCTCTTTGAGTAGTGCATCATCAGCAGCCGTAGACTTCATAGGCAATGCCTGGACTGGAGTGGACTCACTGACCAGGGCACATTGCTGCTGCTGCATGCCTATCTGAGCAAGGGACGCCTCACTCTCTCCCATCTAAATACAAATGATTACAGCAGAATAACACTCATGAAATAGAAGTATCATGGGTTGCGGCCAGTTTGGAAGGAAAGGACATCTAAAGCACTGTTCAATAAGATGATTTAACACGCAGCAGCAAAAAAGAATGGAAATTGCTATATCTTGGAGGTAAAAATAACATAGCTGAGATGAACAGAGGACCCTACGAAGACTCACTGACTAGTATGGTTATTTCATTCAATTTTGCAATGAACAGAATTTTAAAAACAGTCGTTCACTACCTGTTAATGGGTCTTTTTCATGTGCCATTAAACATACATGAAAATGGTAAAATTTTGGATGAACCTACTGTAAAATGCCTTATTTTTCACTATCAAAGCAATTTGTCCACAAATTACATCAATTGAACGACTCTTTCATCCATTACTCAAAAGAGTTTGTGCCATAGCCACATAAAATACACCTAGTGTATGAGAACAGCATTTATAGAAGAATATTTCACCTTTGATTGAATATTTTGAAGCTGTTTTTCTAGCTGTTTGCGCATCTGCTCCTCCTGTTCTTTGGCTGCTTTCATCACCTTCAGTTGCTGTGTGAGATCACTGGTTATATCCTCATCGGATGAGCTCCCTGTCAGTCACAATAATGAATAGTGGTGGATTAAACCAAATATCTGCTATTAACTTGATTAATTTCAAAAATCTGTCATGCCCAACTCTAACTTACTTACAAACTTTGCACCAAACCTGTGCAAATGTTTATGTCCATGCAAGGAATGTTAATTTAAAGGAAGTGAATCTAATAATCTTGTATTTCCAAGTTACAAATTTTTGAGGACGCTCTTGGCATCAGCTGCATCATCAGTAACCTAAAAAGCATCAATCTTCATCAGTGAGCCCCATTCATAATTCAGGAGTCAACCATAAGAATTACAATAAAATAATTAAAAGCAAATCAAACTACATTTCTGTTCCATGGATCTTCTTAGTACATTTAACTTTGACATATTTTGGCATATATACATGATACAAAATTCATACTTTAGAGGAATTTGCTTTCCAATGGTGTAAAAGAGTGTTATAATGGAAACATATTTGTCTGTAGGAAGGACACCATACCTTGTGATTTCTTTGCCTGTCCATTATCTTGCTTAGCAACCCTTAATTTCTCATTCTGGGTCTCTAGCTGGCGCTGCTGGTGGTTACAGTTCTCCTTAACGGTGTCAAATATAACAATACATAAAGTTACTAAAAACAAAATAATACACAAGGAATCAATCAACCACAAGTCCTCTAATCAATCATAAGTCAACAGTCTCCTATCTCTTACATGTATGTACACAGTTGTGATTTACATTAATCGCAAATAAGTTGCGTTTAATCGCAACTGTTTATAAGACAGAGCCAATGGTAGATAGTCATGCAATGTAACTCTGGAAGAAAACAAATCAATAAAAAAACTCACTTTTGAGAAAATGTCATGATTTCATTGCACAGTGTACAAGGCGCTCAAGCTAGTGAGCAAACAATCATCTCAGAGTCTAGGATAATGGCCATCTTTTAGAAATAACATAGACTTCAAGTACAGGTCAGGTCTACACAAATTTAATACATATATTTTGAAATGGCCATGTTTTATTTACCAATAAATCATACAGTGCACAATTTTAAACACAAAGTTCATTTCAATTTTTTTTTAAATGGGTTTTGATTTTTAAGAACTTATTACCTGGAGCTTTCTGTAATCCTGCGAGAGTTTCTCGACCTTGTTGGTCATCTCATTGGCCTCCATCTGTGCCTTCTCCATCTCATTCTTGAGCTGGGTTGACTTGGACTGCTCAGCCTCTAGCTGCGTCTTGGTGTGAGAAAGTTGACCATTCAGGCAGGCTACCATGGTTTCCTTGTTCTGCAGATCATGGGCCAGCTAGGCAGTCATAAAGAAAGAGAGCAATATTTATTTATTCATTTAGGCTAAATAATCGTTTTAGCTACCAAATTTAGCGAGCACTACATGTACACAGGTACATTAATATGGACTCTGACTTTTTTTCTTCTGAGCAATGGTCGGGAAAATGCTGTTGGCGCTCATAGATGCAAGTGCAGCCTTTTCAGACTTGAGAATGAGTTATCCATATTCTCTCTCAAGTACCTAGAAAATGCTGTCGGTTAGAAGTGTAAGTCATTGAATTACTGTAAAACTAGACACTTTCATATGTTTTATAGTTGTCTACACATCAAGATTTGACAAAGTTTCTAGACACAATAACAACTAAACGACATAGAATTTGTGATATTTGTTTTAATATTAAAATATATGTATGAGAAAGTAAAAAAGCGCTTTATAATTTATTCTAAATCATTTGTTCTCCACACAAGATATAGTAAGATACTGTCTAATAGCTATGAGAAAACAGTCAGAAATTAAAACAAAAATTAGCACACAATTAAGTTGCACAAAATCCATTACTTACCCTATCACGCTTCTTCTCCACATCGTCACATGCTTCTGATAAACTGTGATTTTCTTTCTTCAAGGTTGCATACTGTGCTTTCTCCTCTTCAACCTGTCACAGAATTTATTGAAAACTGGATCACAATTCACGAAGGATTGAACAATGTATTACATGTTATTGGATTTAAACTGTTTTATAAGAGAGGTTCAAGAATGTAGCCAATGGTAAACCTGTCTTCAAGTTACGTGTTTGTGCTTTAATTTTGTTCCATCGCACACAGCTATGCAATTTTTGTGCAGCAGTACGGAAGCTCCATGCATCGAAACACAGTTCACCTTTAGACGCGATCTACATGCATATATTTCCAAGGAATTTGATGATGCCCACTCTGAGATGCACATTTATGTACTACTGTTTGGCTACATTTGCTGCATGATGTGACGTCATCCAATAATAAGCAAATAGCGGCCTCCTTGATTATGGGACCCTTGGCTTCTTGATCAGGTTTGTAGACTTTACACTCATATTGGAGACCTGTCTTATAAAACTAATATGATTGTTTTGGGCTTGATTAAATCACAATGAGATGGACAATGAACTCGCAAACATGAATTAGGTGTAGATCTATATCAGCAAATGTTTTTTTTTAACAGAATGAAAACACAAACTTGTTTGTTGTCAACACTCAAAATAATCATGGTAGCAGAATAAAGATTCCATTGGAAATAGAAATAAATTCATCAGATTTCAAGATATTCTTTTTAGGTACATATGTACATTCCTCCTACTTTTTTAACATTATCTTCAAATAAAACAAAATAAAAGAATGTTTATCATCACAATCCATGACTTATTGAAGAAGTTAAAAGCCTCTTTCATCAAATAAAATACCTTCTTTTGCTGCTTTTTCAAGGCAGCATCAAGAGATTCCATCTGGAACTGCTTCTGCTTTTGTTCCTTGCGCAGCTTCTCCAAATTGGATTCCATTTTTTGGATCTCCTGTAGGGCTCTGTGAGAAAGCCCATCCTTCCACTCGTCTCCATACCAACTCATCTTTCTCTATGCCTTGGATCTGTCAACACAGCGTGTGTACCCAAAGTGTGCAACTGTAATAAACATCAAGAAGGAATGAGAAATAGTTGGAATATCTTTACGAGAATATATTTTTTTGAATGCTAAAGCTCTGCTAGAGAGTTCAAGAACACCCAGATGACATGGCGTCAATCAGCTAAGACTACATTTACATGGAGGTACACATCAATGACATGTCTTCACAGAGTCAAATCCAAGACTAAAGTCTGAAGAGCCTCTAAAGTCATTGATGTTAAAAACTCCTCCAATCAGACACATTTTCCTTCCTTTTAGACTCTAGATCAAATTTTACCCTGTACTCTGTAGGCCTACTATTAATGTCTAAACTTGAATGAGCCGTCTATTTTTAATATCAAATATTTTCGTTGATGGCTGTTTTCATCGAGACTATACTTCTGATCTGGCTCCATGCTCCACTGACCACGTAGAACTTTAGCTTAAATTTAGCGCATGCGCAGAACGTTCATACGATCTTGACGAATTGCAGCCTCATTTTACTTAATTGGCGCCTACAAGGGTCCTTCTTATTGGCTATCACTGGCTGCCATTCACTCAATGTTAATGGTGCGAGGAGAAAGTTTGCAATTTCTGTGTGATCCGATACCAAAATCATAACATTTCAGTCAACCCTCTATTTCTTGTTTCGATTTTGTCAGTATCCTTAAAACTAGACCAGGTCTAGATCTAGGTTAAGTATTTCACTTAGTTTGTAAGTTTAACTTAGATTAAGTCGTAACTGTTAGTCTTACGTAACTTTTTTTTAAAGTTTGAAAAAATTCTCATTTTTGTCATATTTAATCAAGGTACAAACTGGAAATTGATTCTGAAATGTTTGTTGATTTTTCTATTTTATGTGTGTACAATCCTAGAATCTATGTGTGCGTCAGTTATGTGTGACTGTGAAGTGCGTCACCTGTTAAAGCATGACAAGTCAAAATCTCCTTGGTGTGACGTAATATTACGATCCGTATTGACATTGCCATTGAATTTAAGTTGCGCTTAAGTTAAGTAGGCCCTCTCTTACTTAAATTCAAAGCCACTCTAGCCGATCGGCCAATGGGAGCGCGTAAACTCTGGGTAGTCTACAGTGCTCAATGCGCAAAGTTCTTCGTGGTGACCGCCAAAAATAAAGCCCTCACTTTTGCCCTGAATTTGAACGAAATCTGATCATGTATGAATCAAATGAAACCTACCATCATTAACAGATTTGTCTTTTATAATATTTTATTGACATAACTTCAAAAGATGTATGAAATATTGCATGTAAACTTATTCAAATGATCATTTATAAAATCAAACGTGCGTGCTGGCCACTGACTCTGCATGCCCTGAACTCTGCCAGACCTCCGGCTCTGGCCTGGGCAATAATTTTGTAAACACGAGCGACACAACAATCGAAATGATTTAAATAAAGCAATATTCATGTGACAGCTCATCCTGCCTGGGAAAAATACATAAATATTTGCTTACCTGCACAATTACTGTTTCATTAGATTTTTCATCTGAGTCCCAAATACAAACTAAAAGCAAAGCTGGCTTGTGTCATGATCTCGTCCGCTGCGCAGTAAATGCATGCATAGATTTACAGTGTATGCATGCAGAGTCGAGTCGAGTCGCTTTCAAAAAAGGCGCAGTTTAAAGCTGACTGGTAACGGTTCCCATTCCGGTACAAATGTGATCAACACTACTGTGCGATACCCGCAGTCTCAGTGTACAGAGATAGTAGACCACTCTTTCAACTGCTCATCGAGAGCCGTTGAGCCTCTATTGTCATCACTAGATGCGCTTGAGTGGTTTCTGTTTTCATTACCATTTAAAATTTTAAAGGACAAGGTAATAAACTGAAAGCTAAACTCGTATGAGAAGTGAAACTGCAATTTAATTTTTGAGAGATCCTATAATCTGTTAATCATACCGCATGTATCATAAAAATAAAATGTAAAATGCAGATTCTCAAGTAAGAAAATAATAACTCCCCTGAATGGTACTTGGCCTGTGGAGTGAGTGGAGTGGTAGTGGTGGTGGTGTAGGTGTTTATTGAGGTGATGGTGATATAGTTACGGCCATGCCAGTAGTAACATTATTAGGAAAATCATTCAGAACAAAAACATTAATTTTTATCCCTCCATCCCCAACATCTCTCCCCATCTATCTATTTAATTCATGTAATAATGTTGTATATATGATTATTATTTAATCATCGTTAGGATTATTCAGGGCTGTGCAACTTTGGGGAACTGCTTCGAGTGAGATTGATCAAGGGGGCAGGAGGGGGGGGGGGGTTGAGCACTTGAAATAAAATCGTTATTTTTGTTTATACTCAACCCCCCCCTCCCCCTTAAGCAAAAAAAAAGAGTAAAATTGTGGTTACCAGCATGTTTGGCGGGAGCATTTATAAACTGGGAGACTCTACGTCGAAGCGGGAGAGCGGGAGGAAGGGTGGCTTGATCGAGTCTCCCGCTACGAATTGGTGGGACGGCGGGAGAATGCATGGCGCGAGAGAGGGTTGACAATTACTAGAACTGCCACCTCATCATTATTATCGTTTTCATTCTTTTTATTATTATTGTTGGTATTTCTTGTTGGTTGTTTTCATTTTTAAGTGTCTAGGATGGATAATCACACTGACATCCATCAAGAAATATAATCCAGACCCATTTCAATATCTTATTTTATTGCTTTTGATTATTACAAGAGGGAAAGGTAAGGCTACTAAAATTGCCCCAGATTAATTGGATTTCGGTATGGGGTGATGAATTTGGTTCAAATGAACATATTGAAAGCAAATGCGATCCTACAATATTCAGTGATCGTTGTAGCGGTTGAAATCGAGTCTAAAGTGATGAAACTAATAAACTCTTTTTTAGTTGTAGCTTCCTCTCAAGGTCAAGATACAAATTTAGCTATAAAACAATTTTTGATGACTAAAATCGACCGATTAGCTATTCCCGTTTGGAAATTATATATCACAACTACATATTCTGAGATTTTCATGGTCGCAGCTACCATTGTATGGCCTAGGCGCCATGAAATTTATCAAAATTTACCAGGAGCACCGGTACATTTTATATATTTAATTTTGCTCGAAAACAGGAGTGTTTTAGAGGCTAAATTTTTTAGTGCTTATAATACACCCCCAGGGGGCATCTTAATATATCAAAATTATAAAGAATCACAATCCAGCCAATTTTCAAAATTCCCCCAAAATTTGTATTACCTATGTCTTTGTGACTGTGTTATTGTCTATCAGTGGTGACAAAGTCCTGTTTCTAACAAATATGAACAGTTTATCATCAATTTTCTTAATTTATTTGATACAAAATACATATACAGTTCATGTATATTAGAGAGAGTCGAAGATAACGTTACAAATAAAACCACAATTGTGTGTCCAAATTTAAAAGTAAGTTGGAAGTTCCTTTTTATTAAAATAAATGGATATTAGGCTTTTTAATGATTTCTTTAATTAATATTTTTTAAACGCCTAATGAGGTGCAGTATAATTCTAGAAAAAATGAAGAAAAAAAACACAATAGGCAAATTCACTTATTTGAATGCCTACAAAAGTAACTTAAAACCCATGCTAAAATCTGTAAAAAAAAAAAAAATACATTCTGCTTTCAAAAAAATGTATGTTTTGAGAAATCCATTTTCCTTATTTTTTTAAACCAATAAATTGATATTCCATTTTCACATGGAAAAACGTCCTAGGCCATTAGTATTCAATATTCATGCAGCAAGATATGGAGAGAACTATTTGTTTCAATATTGTTCACGTTTATGTTATTTTAGGGCAACGTCATATTGCTGACGTTCGTTACTCGTAAGAAACATAATTCTGATGGTTCATATTTTCACAAAATGTTTGGTTGGTAATTCTGAAAATGTAGAACCTGTATTATTTTCAGATTTATGAAACTTCGGAAAAATGAATACTATTTCACTTTCAGAATTATGAACCTTTAGATAAACAAATAGAATAGCACCAGTAGCACAACAAGTGTTTAGAATCATGAACCCCCTGCTATTGGAAATTCGTGTTTAGAATCATGAACCCCCTGCTATTGGAAATTCGTGTTTGGAAATCATGAACCTTCAGTAAAGTATAGATACATTTAAACATACTGAAGAGAAATGTTGTAACATAACTGAAAACAAACACATTTTTAATGTACATAAGTAAATAACATATGGAGTGTTTGTTTACTGTGCGATATCTGAATATGCTTTTAGAGATAACACATAATATGCAAGTCCTATTAACACATTTCTGTATAAATGAAGTGCAGAATTATTGTCCTCTTGCATCAACAGACTTTTCAAGAACTGTTCATTACCCAACTGAGCTACACCTATCACTATCTTGGTTAAACCTTATTCCCTTCAAACTGTGAGATGACACATTTTTCTTTGTGTATTATCATGTAAATTTCTTTCATTGTTTTTCCTATATCAAAGGAGTTTACTTTCTACCATAGTATGTACGTCATACCTTTCAATTTTGTTAATAAAAATCTGAACATAGGCAACAGTAAAGCACCAAAAAAACGAATTGTGGAATGTACCAAGATTTGTTTTATTATTTTGTATATACCAGTAGTCATGGTTAACATCATAGGTTAGAATATGAATCTGAATTCTAGGCACATTTCTGTACAATTGGGACAACTCTGGGCCCCGTCTTACACAGAATTGCGATTGATCAATCGCAAGTTTGCAGTCTCCTATCTCTTATGTACATGGCTGCGATTGAGAACTCTTTGTAAGACGGGGCCCTGATCTTCATATCTTGTTTAGCTTGGGCAAAAGACCTCCGTGATAGTACATGGACTACTAAAATGTGCAATAAAAAATCACCTCATCACCTATGCACCGGTATGTCTCAAGATTGGAACAATACTGATGCTTGCTAATCTCACCATATTGCTGAACACAAATGGATATTCAGGTGAGTGAGTTCATCAGTTAATTCATAAGAAAATCTTATTTACAGCTGTCACTCCTTCCCGCAACAGGAAAGGTGATGGAATGGAACTTGTGGTGTAAAGAAGTAAAGAAAAATTCCATGTGGAAACTCTAATCCAGTGGGTTTGGTTTGAGATGCGGTGCAACCCAAGACTTTATTTCCCCAGCACAACAGGTGCAATTTTTTTTCTTCTTAATTTGAACTTCTTTTAAGAAAACTATTACCGTAATGCAAAATTAGGGGGATGGATTCCCTACATTCTTCTTTATCTAAACATATTTTGTAAACTTGAGTAACTTGGTTTCATTATATAAATTATTTATCACAAGCTTCAATAAAAAGACAAGTTGAACCTGGAAATGGCAGGGGTTACACCTAAACATAATAAAATGTGTATTCTATGATTGCATGTAACATATGCTTCTGATGAATGTACTTGCCCTCCCAAAGTCTTAATAAAAATGGGTTGATGCCCTTTCCTGAATTTACACATCAGTAATAAACTTTAAATGTGACAGTATACAGATTTCAAAAGAACACCTCTTTTTTAACATGCCATTCAAAACTAAATATATGTAACGTTATCCTCATGACCACCCTACACAAAGCCAACGCATACTGTATTTTTCTGAGCTCCACTTTGCTCTCAAGTCAGCAGTCAACACATATCAAGAGTCAGTAAAAACAAGTCGAAATGCCTGCACCAAGGCAAAGTCTTGTGCATTCCAGCTCTCCAGTTATAGGAAGTTTATGTCATACAGTCCTTCTTGTCGCTGTTCCTGACATTCTTAGGCTTAGCAATCACCATGAGAACTAAAACTGTAGCAAATTATGCTGTTTCAGCTTGATCTAAATCAATAGTTTTTGCTTTTGCTTCTACCGAAGAATGTTTCTGACGAGTCTCCTAGCCCGCCCCCGCTGTGAATGACGGACGCAGTTAGACCAAGTGTATGTCCAGACAAAGCACCAATAGAGCAAGAGACTGGCCATTTCTGAATGAAGGGAACAAAAGGAAGAAAGATATTAAACACTGTTGATAAAAAAAAATCACAAAGTGAACCCCCATGCTCTTAAATAGATGATTGTCACCAAGTCATAATAGAAAATCTGAACCCTTTTGACAATGTAGTAAGGATTAAATGTATTTTGATGTTATTGCCTATGTATTAAACTTGCCAACTTTGACATCATGGGTACAGAGAGAAAAAATTGTAGTTCATCTACAAGATTATAAGTTCAATATATTGTCTCTTTGGAAAGTGACTTTAGTACAAAGTCAACACTGTTGTGGCTCCAAACAGAAAATATGTGATTTATTTTCTAGATATATCCCAGATCAGACCAACTACCATATATATATATCATATAAGAATATAAGCCTGAATAAGAACAAAAGAATATGGCATAAATTGCTAAAATTTGATTATCTGAAACCATGGCGAAGAGTATTTCAATTTTCAATTCAATTCAATTTTTTTTTCTTCTTGATGAATTATTCAGGCTTCAAGGTCTTCAGAGACCGAAGGCTTGTTACAAACATAACAATGTTATGGAAGGACTAACACTAGCTAGAGATGCCTATGTAACTAACTGTACTACATAATCCATATCCAAGATAATCACAGACTAGTAGGTCATGCCATATCTCACCTGCCATGGTCTATCCCAGTCTAGAGGAATGGGGAAAGCCCCAAGCCATGCACCAAGTAAACTGAAGACTACGATGTATGCTAAACAGGTCTCAATACCTGGATGTGGCCTATGAGTTCAGAGAAAAGAAAGAAATGATGCATGTTGCAATGGTCATCTTGGTTTGCTTAATCATGAAAACATATCAATAACTTAGAAAAGATAAAGACTAGAATGTGACCGCTACCAATCAAGAGAAGAAGACAATAGCTAATGGATCACATGTTCCTCATAACGCTGTGTTAATATTCAGAATTTAAAAAAACCAAAAGAAAGAACACAAGAAGCTAGTTACACCCAGAATAATACAACTTTCTATCTATAGAAATCAACATTTTGGAAATATACCACTAATTAAATAGCATTAAATGAACTCAAATTAGAATTATCTTCACTGTGATGTTGGTTTAGTCTTCTTGTTGTAATACATGGTCAAGAGATTCCCCCCTTTTTTTCTCTCTTGGGTCTGAATATCTGAGATAGGTCATCTCTGTTTGCTATCAATCATTTTTATCAAATCATTTTTATTGATACTAAAAACGATTTCTCTCTTATTTTTTTCCAAATCACTATATGTGAGTTAACACTATGTGTTACTCATTGTGATCCACTTGAAGAATTAAAAGGAATTGTTCTCAATCAAACTGCATTAAACATTCATAACTTCTTTGTTTATAATGTCAATATTCCATTTACAGTGATCTTTATGATTATTAATATCAAATTTTAAAAAATGTGTGTAATTACCTTCTGCTGCCTATGAGCCTGCTGTAACACTCAAGATTGGTTCCTAATACACACAGAGTTGGAAGGGTCACTAAGGTTGTCAGCAAAACACCAAACATGGCAGTTTCTGTCACAGTCCTTGAATAAAAATGAATTGAAAATAAGGGAAGAAATCAAATTTAAAAGTGTAATTAAATAATTATGTTGATGAATCAATCCTGTCAGTTATGCAAGAAAGATGCTACCAGGTACAATGACAAAGTTGCTGTTTTGAAAATAATTGGTTCAAGTTGGCTACAGTTCTACATATATGTGACTGCTATCAGCAGCAAGTAGTGTCCTATAAAACATAATCATGATGGCCACCACTTAACCTATGCATTGTATGTTGAAATGCAGAAATGTATGCAATATGTAATATTTTCTTGAAATTGAAATCAACCAATTTAAGTCTGTACAAGACTTTTTTGTAACTAATCAAATTTCTATAAGAAAGTCCATAAAAACAATACTATAGCAATTTCTTTACGATGAAGTTTTAATAATAGCTATGAAGATAAGAATGATTAGGACTGATCCTGGAGCTATAAAGCTGGCTTTGGTTCAAAATATCTCATATATGTATTAAATTTGTACATTTACACATTAATTTTTTTCCACAAAGGGTTTCTGTATGATCCTCATGGGAATAACAACAAGCATGTATGTAACCTGCATTATGACTGATGTACAACATATTTGGTGAGAGGATTTTGATTATATATCACCAACTATTTTCAGTAAAAGTGCAAAGTTACATTCTCACTAAGAATGACATACTGGAGACAACATTGAATATCTTACTCTGTAAATGGTGCACCATAAAGGACTGCAACTATGTGGAAGGCAATTGAGCTGAAGAAAAGAAGTAATCCATATTTTATGCTGGACACCACTGTAACTGAGGCATGATTGAGAAATGTAGAGCTTCCACTAGATCTCTGTGGAAAAAAATAAAGGACATTAATAAAATAAAAAATAAAAGAGAGAAATTTCACAGGGCAGCAAAGACTAAACTGACAAGGTGTAGCCTAAAAGAGGACCAACGTCACTCTCACTCAGGAGTGGTTTCAGAGTGACCAGTCACCAAGGCTCAGACTCAGACGTGGATCCAGGCTTTCTTAGGGGAGGGGGCCCAATTTTTTAATTTTTTTTTACTCTCAGTGGGGGGGGGGGGGGGGGGGGGGGGGGGGGTAGTAATAACTATTTTTTTTTGCTCCCAACAAAATCGCAACGACTCAGCCAGCCGCTGAATAAGTGGGGGGGGGGGGGGGGGGGAGTGAGCACATTTAAACAACTTTTTTTGGCCCATCCCCCCCCCAAAAAAAAAATCACGTGTTTTTACACATTTGTTTTTTCCAGGGGGGAGGGGGGCCCGGCCCCCCCCCCTAGATCCGCCACTGCTCAGACTAGCCCCAGGTGAAATGAGAAGAGGCAGACAAAATGCAGAAAAAAAGAATTAAGGGTTAAAAACACAAATGACAAATTGATTAAGATAATAAATAAGAAAGGCAGACAAATGGAAAAAGACAAATAAATGTAATACAATATTTGATCAAAGTACAATATAGATGAAAAAAGAAGGGGAATAAAAAGGGGAAAGAAGAATAAAATGAAAATAAAGAATAGCAATAGAATAGTTAATAAGAAAAATCAGAATTAGAAATGTAGAATGAATGACATTGTAAACTAAAATTTCAAGGACAGAAGGAGAAGAACAGAAACAAGAACAAAATAAGGAATAAATCAAGAGAAAAATATCAAAGCCAAAAGAAGAGGAGAATTGAATTGAAAGAGAAAAAAGATAACAGGAAACATAAGATGAAATAGAATACAACTTAAAACAAAAACATTATCAACTTCATTCAGTTTATTGAAAACCTCAAAAAGCACAAGAAGGAAAGAGAAGGAGTAGGAAAAAAAAAGAGGAGGAAAAGAAAATAAAGGAAAAGGGATAGTGTTATTGTCTTTTGACTTATTGGCGATTAGTCAGCTGTGACTATTGTCGCAGGGGAATTGAAGCCTTTGAAGGAGAAAAAAATGAAAGAAGTAGAAAAGAGTCAGATCAAGAAGGAAAAACTGCATGTAATTAAAAAAATAAAATAACATGTATAATAATTGCATTAGAATTTCAGTCTGTTTAGATTAAAGAAGACCAGAATAAACAACGTCACCATCGCATTGCCAATGGCAATGGCATTTCATTTCTTAATATTTTAATATCACCTTATTGTCATCGTCGCGTCGTTATTATTATTATGTTTATCATAAAAGATACTCTGCAAAGAGGACTGTACTCAATGGAAGAACAAGAAGAAGAGAGCAGCAGCAGCAATGAATATTATTAATATTATTTATCAATGTTATTTGGCTTGCTTTGTGTTTTTTTACATTGATTTTAGTTTTGAAATGAAATTGAGTGACCCTCTATCACTTAGTATCAGTGTCTATTAAGTCTAACTTCAATCTAACAAGTAACATATCTAACATTCAATATGAAATATATTTCCCATATAACTTTCAAATCCATCCGCGGCCGCCCACAATAATGAAACATCCGCAAAGCGGCCATCATGTACACTAGCCGGCTGAGCGGCCGGCGGCAAGTTTGTTACGCCATGAGTTTCGGCTGCATACGTACCTTGCTAGCCGATGAAGCATCGAGATCCGACTCCATTCTTGATAACAAGTTATATCCGCAAAGTACCAGAGCGCCGTAAGAAAGGCACCATATTTTCAAGGTATTTACTGGTTCTTTAATCAGACTTGTCACTGAATTCGGATAGAGCATTACAATGACTGTGGAAATCAGAAAAATAAGTAAAAATATCATTAGATAAAGCAAAGATTTCCTGTATTTTCTTGATGTGCCGACATTCAGTGGTGCACTGGAGGCTGCCATCTTGAAAGTGTAATGTTTCAGTCACTAGGTGGCGCAGTACACAATAAATCTCGAACAGCTAGATGTTTATGTAATGATCCGGACAACAAAATTGTAATTTGATTAGTTGCAAAAAGAAAACTAATACGAGTGCCACCCCCCCCCCCCCCCCCCCCCTCGGCAAAGCGAAATATTCCCTACCTTTGTACAATTTTCCTAATCCCTATCACATTCAGGGGAAGCTAATATAGATAACTAGAACGGCCATTAGGAATACTCGTGGTCAAAAAGTGGAAGATAATTTTATAGCCCAGTCTTGAGTCGTAGAGCAGGTGAATCCCCCAACCCCCATATTATACCCTAGTCAACATAATAGATTAGACATGTTTAATCAGTAGTCGATATATATTGAACCCTTAAAAGAAGTAGATCTATATATCAATGTAGTGAGATTTGACAGTTGGGGCAGTTGGCATGCATCACCTCCTGCATTTTTTGTGAGGACAGAATATTAATGCCTGACATTCCCCCTTTTTTCGTCTACAGGAGGAAAAAGAGAAGCCAAGTGGAGAGAGAGAGGGAGAGAGAGAGAGAGAGAGAGAGAGAGAGAACGAGAGAGAGAGAGAGAGAGAATGAGAGAGAGAAAGAGAGAGAGGGATACAGAGAGAGAAAATGACTTTGATGAGGGTGGTAAACAAAAACGTGCTTGCCGTAGGCATAGAAGCTATTTTCATTCTGTCTCCTTTTTGGAAATACATGTAATAATTCTGTATATACATGTATTAGATAGATAGATAGATAAATGGTTTATTCAAATCAAATCAAACATGTAAACAATAAATGTTCATTAATTCCATGCTTCGTAGCTAAAAACTAAATTGCGCAATGGATTACAGAATTAATTATTACAAGGTAAAATTGCACTTACTAATAATAAACTACTATAGATAATAATGCAACTCTTGGCACCGGCGTCGAACTGCTGCGCCACCCCAGTCACCAATGGGGCACAAACAGTAAGATCATATACCCCCCTGATGAATAGCACGACGCAACGGATCAACACCCATGCCTACAATATACAGCACAATTCACAGTGAAATAATGAATACAAAAGGACAGGTATGGCGGAGGAGAGAAAGAAAGGGGGAGGGAGTATAAGAAAATGATAACTTTTACATGATTAAAACATTACATACTTAACAAGAAATACATGCGTAATACTGTACATGGCAATTAACTGGTTTAGAACATTTCAACTTATTACGTATTAAAATGATATTTGGTCGCTTATCTTCCCACTTTCAAAATCACAGCATAAGCGATATCACGTCAGAGCTCATGCAGGTGGTTTCCTTCCCGTTGATATTTATTTCTCATTTCGGAGGATGTACGCTGTAGTCAAAATAATACTGGGAATAACAGCTAATCATACTCCCACAAAATTAATGTTGAATACAGTCAGTCTGGCTTTAATAGTGGCCATGTCTTTATGCCATCTATATACGCCTATGCATTTTGTTTAGAATCTGAGACAAAGATACCCAATCCCTTTAAAATAGAACTGATAGAGCCGGCTGTTTAGATCGGTCAAAAGTGACTATTCATCTGTTTCCCTTGGGTGACATTCAAAGACAGGTTTGACTAAATTATGCATAGGTCACAATCATGAGGTGGTACATCCGTGATTTAGCGGATATTAGGGAGGGGGAGCAACCACCCATTCTTCCAAAACCCAATCGGCATACCTAAAAGCCCGTCTGCACTAGTTTGGCCAGGGGGATTAGACCTCCCCGCAAGGTCATTGACGGGTGGTTATCTCATCAAATCAGAAACATAAGAAAAAGAAGATCATGGGGGACGGCAACAGGCACCGATTAGGCATTGTTTGCTATATAGAGGGCGCACGTAGCTATATAGTACAATGGTGATTTTAAGGGAAATCCAAACTTGATTCCAATCTTCTCTCTAGAGGAAGGCAGAAAAATCTGAACAAGTAGACTGGTGAAAGTTTGAATGAAATCGAAAAAATCAGAACGGTTTTGATTTTGTTTGCGAATATTGTATAGGTATGGGCTTTTTCAAATTAGCTGTATCGGTTATGTCTCTGTGTATATAATGGCGGAAATCTTTCACTCCCATCTGTTCCGACTATATAAATTGACTAAAATTTCAATTTATAAAAAATGTATGACTTGGAAGAGTCTTTTTGCTTTACAGAGGACCTTTAATAATTAGCTATACATAATACATTTTGAGTAGTGCCCCAAAGGAGAAGGCATTTAACAGAAGTAAAACAAATAATGATATTTGTGTACACGACTAACGGGAGAGTTATCCACGATTACATCACAATCCACAGACCAAATTGCTAATTTGAGATTCGCACATAACTTTATAGAATTCTCATATTTTTAACATTCATAACTTTCTTATTATTGGTCCCAATTATTTCAAATTTTCGCTATTCTGATTCTATTGTTTTTCTACTTACATGCAAATAAACTCATCACAAGAGTTGGATTACTTTTTAAGTAAAAACTTAATACATAAAGTGACGGGTATCATAGAGCAGCTCTATACAGGTGCATTATTTTGTATCATCCTCCCTCGTCGCTTTGGACATGCGAATATAACATGTACCCAATGTGCAGGCTTGTAATCATTGATCAGTGCTTTATATTTCATGTAAGAAAACATGAATCGATTATGTTTTATGATTCATAATTGATTATCATTATAGCACGTTTAGATATTTTTGTGCGTATGCATGCATATCCATTTTGAAGGCATAGCTCTCTATAAATACATATTTTTCTTTGGAAGGGGATGCCTTCCATAAAAAAAATCCTGGTATATTCAGACTTGTTATCGCTGTAAATCATTGTCCTTCGTGCCAAGGGGGGGGGGGGGGGGGGTCACGACCTTGAAAATAGATAGCGTGACACTAGCACGTTTAGTGCTAAATTTCTTCACTTTTTTAGAGATTACTTGGAGAAAAAGTGTTACATTATCCTGATATAGTTTTGCTGATCACACATTAAAATATAGTACAGTGACTGGCCATAAGTATAACTATAGGCGTAGCCACGGGGCACAAGGGGGCCATGGCCCCTCTATTCAGTCCCTAATACAACAAAAACAACAACATGCAGTAGGCTACCTCATGCTTCATGGAGGTATATTGTACCCCCCCTTCTTATACGCGCGTTCAGGTCACTTTACCAGGCCGGAGCATGCATGCACTGGCATACTGATAGGGGGGGGGGGGGGGGGGGGGGAGTGGCGGTTGCCCCCTCCCCCCCCCCATACAATTCATTTATTTCTAATTCGATACCAGCGATTCACAATATGCTTATTAAGAGGCCTACATACTTCTGAGGGCTCCGCCCCTGGACCCCACGCTAATTAATGACCTGCCAGTGTCACTGACAAATAAGGTATCTAAATGTGCTCATCTGACCATAAATAAATGCCTAAAACCCCTGAGCTTCCGGGGGCTCTTCTTCCCTCGACCCCCCCCCCCCAGGGGCCCCAAGCTGGCCCCTGAATGCTTATCTGACCGTTATAAAATGCCTCAGATCCTCGAGTTTAATGGGGCATAGCCACCTGGACTCCACGCCAATTCGCGACCTGCCTGAGTCATGAATAGCCTATAGGTATCAAAATATGCTCATTATGACCGTACTTAAATGCTATAGTACCCCTTGAACTTCCGAAGGCTCCACCCCCTTGACCCCTTCGTAGCTTTCCTTTAGACTCCATGCCAATTTACGCTACGCTCTACCTGATCGTAAATACTTTAGCCCCTGCCCCCCCCCCCCACTTTGAAAAACGTTCAGCGGAGCCTGCGTGTAAGAGTGGTCGTGTTGCGGATTTTTGTTCTTCTGCTTGGTCGATCCTTCACGTTTGCCCCCCCCCCTCCGCCTATTGAAAAATTGAAGGGATGTGAAGAGAGCTGATCTCTGCTTCTAAAATCTAAAATTTGAAATATCATGCTACATTACTTTTATATAGGCGAGTTCTACATGGTTCCCATAATGTTTTAAAATAGAAAGTCCCATAGTGGGAGAAATATGCAAATGTATAACTCTTTAAGAGTCCTAGTCCCCCCACTCCGGCATCCTTCACTACTCCCCCCCCCCCCCCCGAAAAAAAACACAACAACAACACAACATTATCGAGGCACGCAAGCTGTAAGCAGAGAGTGCAGTGACGTATCTCCCAAACAAAGATCAGCTGCTCGATTAAAGCAGCTGATTACTCGTCTGCAGTAAAGCCAGACTTGACGAGAGAGGTACCATTGTCCCCGATCACTCCGCGAAGCCCAGTATGCACCTACACCACTACTACATGCACTGAGCTGATGATGTGTCGCGAACTGGTACAGTAGTGCATCTAGCCTAGCCAAAGAATCCATACATGTACACGCACTGCACAGTTCATTTGTTTACTTCGTGAGGACCTGTTACATTTGCCGTCTGGACTTTACTGGAGCTAATACTTGACAATTTTAACCTGGTTTTACCAGTTTCTAACGTTTCCTCGAGGATTTTGAAGGTGCACAGCCGCAATATGGGAACGGACAAGAAGACAATCGAGGCGGAGGAGAAGGATGCAAAAGTGTACAAATCTTTCAAGCAACGCAAAACATTTAGTAAGTAAAACTCCATTGCAGCCGAGTTGCAGTGCAATGGACAATATGTGCATTGCGCTTCTGCTCTTTGTTTGTCCAAACCTTTTGTTAAATTACAGGCTTATTTAGACAGCTACTTCTGTATGTTGGAACCAGATAATTGTTCGTGTATGATTATTTTGAGATGTTTTCCACATACTTCTGTCCACAGATTTAATGTTTTCCAAGTCCCTATGACCTGTGAAATAAAATATGATAACCGACTCATGACTTGGGCCTTGAGTTGTGATTTGTCATTTAATTTGATATGATTTTGATTTTTGATAGAACAGAATTGTTTGATTATTAAACAGAATGATTTATTCTTATCTTGTAATTCTTCATACTGGTGCTTATTCAGTAAACACATTATACAGGCTGTATATTGTATATTTATATATATATATATATATATATATTCATGTTTTCTCATAGCTGCCCACTATTTTGGAGGATTGACTATACATTTACACTGTAGATCAGTTATTTTCTTTTTTTAAAGCCCAAACTGCAACTGCTTACAATCCCTTTCTGAAGATGAAAACATATGTCTGTGTAAATAAAAATGCACTTTGTTCCAGATTCAAAAGTACCTTCAAAGGTTTAAAGATTACAGCTTAAAACAATAAAAGAGGAGAGTTTGGGATAACCTCTCATTATTTAATTGGTGGCACTCTTCTAGTACCCACATGTCTATTTTTTTTTTAAATTTGGGATATATTTAATTGTTTATATGTTATTTTAATTTGTAATACAATCATATACATGACAGCAATTTGTTGTTTATTCATTTTCTGTTCAGAGGCTAGATTTATTACAGTGTATACTGTACAGTGTAGGTCATAATTGTTCATCAAAAATGTATTTTGACAGATGATGCATTTTGGATCCACATGGTTTACATAAATAATACATAAATGTACATGTATTTCACTATTTCATGTGTTCAATAGATTTAATGACAACGATGTCAATTTGCTAAAAAGACGGAAAATGCAATGAGAAGGAGAGTAAGAGATAGAGAGGGGGGGGGGTGTCAGAATAAAGTCTGAATTAAATAGTCCTCAAGAATCCTCATAATTAATGTTTCATATTGCACATCACATATTCTTATTTTTGTATTCATTTTGGTACTTAACATGGGAAGAAGGAGTAGGGGAAGAAGGAGGATACTTTGGATGGACAGTCTGCAGAAATTGTTGGAAGAGAGAGGAGTGAAAGAACTGGGAGTGGTACTAATACAGAAGGCTAGGAACCGAGGGTTGTGGAACAGCATGATCGCCAAAGTCAATCGATATGGCACTTAAGAGAGAGACTTAACATGAAATTATTTAATTATCACTACATGTATGTAGTGGATCATGTATATAAAAACACTGGAATAGAATATTTGCAGCAGCATTCAAATCAGAACTGAACATTATTCTTATTTGTATTCATCCATGTAGGCATAAACATCCATCATGCATATTATTATATTCATACATTCTAGAATCAAAGTACATGAATTGTAGGTACAACCAAGTTTTATTGATGGAGAAAATCCAATTTGCCTACCTGTAAAAGAAATTCTTGATGTTGTGCAACAAGTCATATGATACGAGGTTAGTGCAGGTCATTCCTAGAGTCTTAAATCTTAATAGCCCTACGTAATACATTGTGTAATATGTTTTTCCCCGTTTTTCTTGCAGGTCAAAGGAAAGAGGAGGTTGCAGGCATCAGGGCGAAATTTCCAAACAAAGTTCCAGTGAGTATTGAAAAGAAGAAGATACATGTACATATACAGTTGCCATCATTCAGTAATGAAATCAAAGTAATAGCTAGAGGAAGGATTATGGATCGATTTTCTTGTTGACTTTTTTAATATTTTCTGCGTGCATGTATAAAACATCTGTGAAATGAATTGAAATATTATCTCTTCCTCTCATTAAATTTTTTTTTATAGCCATACTGTACATGAAAGTACATTTGCCTTTGTAAGTAGATTGTGAAGGATGTTCATGTGCACACGTGTAGTACAGTAGTTCACATTGGTGCTTGATACCAGTAAATCACTTACACACTCAAAATACTCACCAGTTGAAACTTGAAAGATGATTTTTTTTTTTAAATAATTTTTTTCTTCTCATAATTTTCCCTCCACAGGGGTTTTATTGATTTTCATGTGAAACAAATTAACAAATATATATTCAACGTAATTTACATTTATAACAAATAAAATTAGCTTCTCAAGATACAAGTATTGTAGAACTGTTGAGTTAACAGAAAACTAACAAATCAATAATTCATTTCTGATATTCATGAAAAAAAAATACAGAAAAAATATCATTTTAAGCACCGGGTAAACAATTTCCTGAATTGAAACCATTTTCTTGTGAATTTATTATTTCTACAATTCAAATTTGCAATATACTTTTCTTTTTTTAAGTAATTTATAATCGAAACTCTAATATTATCAAAGTCGGGCAATTGATTCTTTATTTTGCAAGTACCGGTACATGTATACACCATCTGTCGAACCACAATCAGTATACAATTCAATGCATAATTATTTGAACCTCTTAAACCAATAATTTATCTTGTAAAGTGAAAATGTTAATTTATTTCCGGTTCCAGTGTAAATCCAGTGCTCTAACCTATCCCAAATATGTTTAACATGCATACAATCACATAGCAGATCTATAACTGTTTCAATCTGTTCATTTCAAAATGTACATTCTTTTCTTGGGACTAAATTCATTTTAAACAGTAGTTCACATTGGTGCTTGATACCAGTAAATCACTTACACACTCAAATTTCTCACCAGTTGAAACTTGAAAGACGATATTTTAGATTGATGGGCTACCTTCAAGTAAAACTTTAGTTGGGTATCATATTCAGTTATAATACATCGTACCTGTATGCAACTTTTTATATACCTACCATTAACACAGTTTGTTCTGTTTATTTCACTTAGACTGTTCAAAATGCATGACATGGATATCTTGCAAAGCAGCAACATGTACCAAAAACTTTCAGTGAAATAAAATGATACTACTCCTCTTTTTTCTTAAAAATCTATAAACATTTTAAAGAAAGAAAGAAATAAAATGAGTGTGCATGTTGTTAAAGTCTGTTTTGTATAAGTTCATGGTAATCAGAGGTGCTAAAACAAAAACATATTCCACCTTGAACTGGTTTCCAATACCACAACAATGATGTATTGTTGTAGATCAAGGACAATTGAGCTTGTCAGGTTTGATCGTTTGGAATGATAAGAAAAGTCTGTCTTATTTGACCTTTTTGGGTAAATATGTTCTACTTAATGCATTTGACAATGTACTTACAATATAGAGTACCGGTACTATAAATCAAGTATGGATGTGTTCATACATGTATGAAAAAATTAAGATTGTTCACAATTTATAATGGATGAACACATACATGTACAGTTATTTTAGTGTTAAGGTCTGATAAAATGTTCTTTAGAGAGAGATTAACTTAAATGTACAAAGCTTTATCTTTTCAGACAGAAGGATGAATTTATAATTCTGACTAGTGTTGTAGTCAAACGTTTAACCGTCCGGTATCCGACCGCCCATGGCGGATTCCGTTTTCAATTGGACGGTTTCGTTTTCCCGTTGTTGGTTTTTTTTTTTTTTTTTTTTTTATAATTTTTTTTTTTTATTTTTTTTATTTTTTTTTAAAGTTTCGATTTATGCCCCTCCACCTGGCACTATGCCTGGCAATGTCTCCCAGCTCAGTAATCGGTGTGATGACTTACCACTTGGAAACTAGAACAACACTCCAATTTGTCTGTCATCTTGGTTTGAAAGTAATCTTTGTAATAGATCTCAATATGTATTCATCCAAGTTTAACACATGGTGTACCACAAGGTTCTATCCTAGGTCCTCTACTGTTTTTAATTTACTTTAATGATCTTACACATTATTCTAAAACGACATTGTTACTATTATTTGTAACTAGTTCACAAGCACAAATCGGCGCCTTCAGTTAAATTACCTTCCAGCTTTTTCACACGGCCAAAAAAAAAAAAAAAAAAAAAAAAGATTTTTTTTTTTTTTTTTTAAATTTTTTTTTATTTTATTTTTTTATTTTTTAATAAATCGTTTAACCGAAAACCGTCCGGTTTTGACAGGCGGTTAAACGGAATTGGAGATATCCGTGATGTTACAGCACTAATTCTGACTTTCTAGTGTAATGTAATGTAGAATTTGCAGATGATACAAAATCATCAATACATATGTATTGTGTAACACAAACACAAAAAATGAACCCAAGAATTTGGGAGCCATGAAATTGAAAACAGTAAATTTACCAAAATTTTCCAACATGTAAGTATATGTTACAGTGAAATACAAAAAAAACCTTATTAATGCGTCTTGACCTTTAAAAGGTAGATTTATGTTAAAAAGTTGTTACATTTCATGTATGTTCATTTGTATATTATGTTTGTTCATTTCAGGTGATTGTTGAAAGGTACTACAAAGAGGTTCAGCTTCCACTGCTAGACAAGACAAAGTTTTTAGTCCCACAAGAACTCACAATGAGCCAATTTGTTACAATAATCAGGTAAGAACAATGAATAAAGAGTTATGACTGCCAGCAAGAACATGAACAATAATATTGCTATAAAGTATACTTAAAGAGAAGGTTGAGTTCTGGGAAGAGGTGAACAATAATTTGTGAGCGTTATCATTCTTACAGTATTATGCAAGTGTGGAAGAACATCAGATAAGACATGTTTCATGAAAACCATGGCTCTTCAAATGCCTTCATACCTTGGTATTCTAAATATGTCATGTAACATTGTAAAACTTGGGGGGGGGGGGATTTTTACGCCACATTTCGTGTAGTCCCATATACATCTTTCTGTGTACAGTGTTTGTAACTTTACCAAGACTTGACAAAATTTCTCATAATTTTGATGGTTCCAGAACCTTGCTATACACACAAATTCTTATATGCTAGATGATCAACCTTTTCTGTTCGATTCCACACCATTTCTTTCACAATGCAATCGCATGACCAGAACTCAACTTCGTATTTAAGTTCTTATAGAGTAAACATATTAATCAATTTTAAACTAGTTTTATTAGACTACATGTAATACATGAGATCCTGTATGCAGCATATTTTTGTCTGAGAATTAAGAGGGGTCCAAGAATATGAATGCAATTTGATACCATAAGACTTTGTATTTATTATGTCTTGCAAACTCCTTCAGCAGCATTTAGATGTAGTGAGGGCTGCATGTACATAATTATTTATTTGTTTGGTTTTTGTCTGTTTTTTTTTCCCCGCTTGATGTTTTAGTTTTCATTTTCTATTTCTAAAATCAGTGGTGCATAATTTGCAAGCGTATTTCATGGACAGAAGAAGCCTTTCTAAGTTTCTACATGACTTGTGTCTACTGTGGTAGACATTGATTTCTAGGTTACTTGGTTTGTTTCCCCCAGGCTACAGGGGCCTTAAAAAGGGGCTGATTAGCTCTCCTTTGCTTTTATTATTTTGGCAGTGTTTTTTTTCTACATGTCAACTTATTGACAACTTTTGAAGGGAAAATGTATACATGTACATACCGGAATATACGAAAAGCATCATAAAAAATGTCCATCATGTAGCCTAAATGTACATTGCCGGTGGCATTACCTATGTAGTCTTCCAAAATAGATTTGATGTTTTAATTTGCCAAGAAAGTGAGGATACATGTACAAATAGCCAAGGGACTCATTGGTAGAGGGTTAATGCCTTACCAAAAAGCATCAGGTACACTGTACATGTAGCTCATTAACTTGGTTTTGAATCTGTGACCTCTTGACCAAATTGCTTTACCACTGAGCTACATGTATGCCTCCTCTAGTCTGCATAATTGTATGGGGTTGTTTTTTCTTATTTTTTACCATGTACATTGTATATGTATTTTGAAATTTTAATAATTTTAATATATATAATTTGTAATTTTATGTGAACTTTTGTGGTGGCTTTCTAGCAAATGAGTGTCAATTTCTCTTGGACTGTGCTCAATTTTTCTACTGATTATCATTATGAAGATAGAACTAGTTTTCAATTTTTCATCTCTTGGACAATGTAACTGTTAGCAAGCTTTATAAACCTTGGGTAGTATGGTTTTTAGATCATATATCTAAGAATTTGGAGACAATCACCAGCCATTACTTTTAAATGTATTATAGTTACAATGTACTAATAGTTGAGGACTTGGAGAGCCATCATGAAATATCCTGGTTATTTATTCACTTTTCATGTGCTCAATGGGCCTGGCCTTATAAAAATGCATATGTAGGCACTCCTTGAACAGGAACTAGTACCAGACTACCAGTATCTTTGCATTTTTTCATAGAATGATAAAAGTCATGAATATTTTTTCACGTATACTTGCAGTAAGGTATATGTAACGGTGCATGTGTTCGTGGTAGGAATCACCTGTAATTCCATATCCTAGAGTGCTTTATATAAGATGATGACGTGGATCCTAATCAAATGATTGGTTGAGAGCATACACATGACCAGGCATCTAGTTTGCCTAACACGTAATTTTGATAATGACCAGTCATTATCTTATACTAATGACCGGTCATTAGTAAAATCATGTTATAAAACATGATTTTATAAAACAAATAATACACATAATTTTGTTCGGGTATTAGTAAAATTACCCTCAAAACCTTCAAAACAGTCCAAGCACCCCCGGCTCTCGCCTTGGACGTGTTAGACTGTCCCGAAGGTACCTTGTGTGGGAATTTCTTACCAACGCCCTCACTGCTGTGTATTATTTGTATAAAAATGGCAGCCATGCATGCTAAAGCTTGGGTAATATTAATGGAGTGCCAGCTAGGAGTGGATATTTACAGGACATGAGCGCTATACAAGACTCCACAATTAAATCATTATTGTTGTTTTTACACAGTGAAATATGTGACAAAAGCAGATGCATGCCTACATAAAGTTATTCTGTACATATACAATGTACATGTACGTGTACGCCTTCTCTTTCGACATATATGTATGTATTCTTTTTTCCTAATATTTCCCTAACCTGAAATCTGCCCAGTTCTTCCTTGCTATTAGCTTAAGGCCTTGTCTAACAAAGGAATCTGATTTTTGTTGTTGTCCCTCTTCTCATTCTTATAGAAATCGAATGCAACTCACAGCCACTCAGGCCTTCTACCTGATAGTCAACAACAAGAGTCTGGCGAGCATGTCTACCACTCTAGCAGAGATCTACAGAGACGAGAAAGATGAGGATGGTTTCCTCTACATGGTGTATGCTTCCCAGGAGATGTTTGGTTGCTGAGAGACCGCATCCGACCATAGCTCATCCCGGGATGATCACGTTGCTTTCCACTCGCCTTTATGTCTTATTCCAAATATTTATGTACTATTCTATTTTTCATCATTGTAATTTTTTTGTTCTCCAATTTTTTGCCTGAAGATGTGCGGATGGAGAGAAAATCTCTTATGAACACTGAATGCCAAAGTGCAAAGCGAGCAAGAAATGTGTGTATGAATATATATGTAATTGTATCTGTCGTACGTGTAGGTGAATTAAAGGGGTATTGCTGGACTTTAATAATACAATATCATGCTGGAAATAGAAAGAGCTAGGTCATACAATATGAAAGCTAATGAGCGATATAACATCACAGAAAAGATCATGAGTACCGGTACGGTACATGAAGATGTACATGTATGTCTTGTATGATCAACTCATGCATTGGTAAACTCATGCTAAGGTACTATGTAAATATGAATTTTCAAACTTGATCCTGGCCACCATGTTTGTATACCATTTAGCATCATATGACTATAACTGTATTTACTATAACATGTATATGGATATATACAAGTCCACCAGCTGCTGTATTATGACTGCTGTGTGGACGTTGTGCCAAATGGCCTCTGTGTTGAACAATTTATCCAAAAAATTCATACTCCACCTACTTTCAACATGTATTACCATTATGTGTACAACAATGTCAAATTTATTGTTCACTGCATGTACACATTGCAATTTAAATTGGTATGCAAGCCAGAAATATAGAAAAGGTCAAGCCTAATCAGCATTATAACCATTTAAACAAGAAAGGTACTGGTAAGTCTGGTAGGTTCTGTAATTTTCTGTTATAGCAAGAATATGTCTACATGTAATGTACATGTATGTATAGGAAAAGGTCAAGTTGTAACCAATATGATAATTCAGTTAGTGAAGTTTACCGCTTACATGTAGGCCTGCCTATAAGTTAGTCAGTTTTGTAGTACATGTACACTGTAAATGTACATGAACGTGAACGTATATAGCAGACCTTTTTTCCTTGCTCTGTAATTCATGAGAACATAAATTTTGACTCTAACATAAGAAAAGGATTAGAAAGACACCTGCTCATGTGCCTTTCTTTTTCTTGACTCTTAAAGGTACTATTTGATATTTTGACATACCGGTAGTTTGTATCTATAGTGCTGGAAAAGAAAAATATGAACAAGAATGTCAGGAATTTAGTTATATTACTTTACTTATTTAATATGAATAAAGAAAATCATGTAATCATATATATTCCATCGTAACTAGAGGAATGACTTCAAAGAAATTATGCTCTTTCATTAATTCGTCCCTATTTTCACGAAGTGACGGTAGTGAGGAAAATCGTAACGCAAAGTTAATGCAATTTTTTTTCACTACCGTCACTTCGTGAAAACAGCGACAAATTGTCGGCACCCATGATATTTTCACTCCCCAACTATGTAATCTTGCTTCCCATCATCTTTTGGAACTTGGATTTCTTTCAAGACAATTTTTCAAAATGTCAAATAGTACCTTTTTTTAAATAGAAAATAAAAGATTCCCTGCAAATCATTGTAGGCAAAATTGTGTGTATGGGTGTGTGTGTGTGTGTGTGAAAAATACATGTTTTTACAGTGATATGTGTAGTGCTCTATATGCTTGGTCATGTTCATGTAAAATTTGTTTTGTTTTGTTGACATTGTTATATATTATTTTGGAGAGGGAGTAGGTTATATACCGGTATATATGTATTTGTCTGCTTTAGAGTAACACACATTATAATAGTTATATTTAGTTTAAGTATGAGCTGCACAATTCTTTTTTCTCCCTACGTGTAAATTTCAGGGTGTACCATTACACTTGTTCGAGCAATACAGAACACATGTGCAATTAATAATGATATGCTTTGCACCTCATGTTACATCTTTCTTTCATGGCTACATCCATCAGGTTCATGCAAGGAAGATCAGCTGTGTTGAGGAATGAATTCAATTACAGGTTTGCTTGATAAGAGATATCGATTAAGAAAATCATTTTGACTTCTCTCACTTTCCAATGACTTTGAGTGCCCTGTATGCACGGTTTAGGGGTTTCCTGTTCTTCCTGTTCACAAAAACCACCTGCTTAGATTTAATAGCTTTATTATTACTTACTGCCCACCAGGAAGAGCAAAGAACCTTGTCTTTGTCATTGACTTTCCCTTCCAATTCAGGTCAGCTCATTTTTTATCACTTGTTTGTGGAAACCTGAGTATGGCAAGAAGATAGTTATCAACAGTTTTTTTCTTATACATCAAATTGCAATTCGTGAGAAAAGAGCAATGAAATAAAAACATGAAATATAAGCTGTGATGTTGCCTTGAATGTGGAGTACAATTTCATATTGTTTATATTTTTTGTTCAATGTCATCTGATTAGCAGAAAGAGAATAGTGGAAAGGGGCTGACAGAGATCTTCAGAAGTCCATGTACGTTCAAACCTGTATATTAAGACCACTCAATGAAAAGTGCTCTGTAGGCATATGGTCTTTGTATTTTAGTTCCCTATAGTACAGGTTCCAGTGAGAAGCTCTGCTAAGAGAAAAGAAATTGTGTTCTCTAATACAGGCAGGTGGTTTTCCTACACAGGGAGTTTGCAAAGCAGGTTTAATTGTATTACATCAACTCATCTCAAATCAAGAATAAGACATCTCAGAGGCTATGTTTATATCCCACCATACAAGCAGTGAATTACGTATATAATGACATTTCACTGTCCATATCATTTTGAGATTGACATGCTGAAGAAGGAGATGTATGTGTGTAGGATCTCTCACTGTATGTACAGCAAAATGAGACTTATGATTTCACAATCTGCTTCATGCATACAGCTTTAACATCCAGGGTGCTTACATTTATACCAAATGTCATATTTTGTACTTTAAAAATCAATGAAAGGACAGTATTGCAAATACAAATTTGAATAATTGTTTCAGAATTCAGAAGTACAGGTGTACACTAATGAAGTGGAACAAGCAATACGGAAATCAGTGTGCTACCAGTGTGTATGCAACTCCTATTTTTATTCAATAGAAAAAGGCAAAGTCGAACATTCAATTGTGATGCCAAATAAAGATTTTTCTCTACAAGTAAGTTAGCTGTAATAGATATATTGAAGAGGTGTGGGTGAAAAACAGTATGCATCTCATTTGTGTCAATATAATGTTCAATTTGTCAAAAGAAGAATAGATATGACAATTTAGGTCTATATCATTATTGGGTATTATGTTTCCATAAGTCATTATGAACTCGCTCATTGTTTTTTTTTATCATCTTGGCTGAATTTGTAACTAAACATGTACTAATTTTGCACTGTCTTGAATTCTGAATTATGTATAGAAGTATACATGCCAATGTATCCTTATCTTCATCATCATATATTATCTTATAATGTAAATCATTGATTGAAAAGTAAGAAGACACTAATCATGTTTTATCTGCTTGCGTAGTGCCCCTTATGGCACTCTCTGGATGAAAAAAAAAGGTATTCATCTTTCAAAGTATAGAAATGTTAATGACAAGATTACAGTCACAATATTTTGTATATTTTTGACTTGTTAACAAATAATATGATCATTTAAATGTATTTGATGTTGCATTTATTGGTGCTGGTAGTGTTCTATGTCTATTTTACAAAAGGCTTCCATGGTTAATGGATTAATGCAGCATTTTTTTCCACTGTATTATAATGGTACATAATATTTAGAAGGCCTAGTCTTTTCATTGAAAAGGAAAGTTTGCATTTATGTTTAGGTGGTCGTACACAGCTTTAAAAAAAATTATGTTGTGCAATGCCTTGTTGTTTTTGTTGTGGGCTTTGACAGTTCCTGTTATTCAATTTAGCCAAGCCATGAAAGCTAGCAAAAACAACAAGAACAATAACAACAACAACAACAACATAAGAGATAGAGCCAAAACAACACAGTTCAACATGGCAGCTCACTGTGAAGCACAAATGCACTGTATGTATCGATGTGTAACAGACACCTGCATGTACTCCAGGGATAATTCTTATTCCAGTGTATTTGTATGCATTGTACAGTATATGTACAGTATTCTGCCAGGACAGCGCTGCCCAAATTTCACTTCTGGAAAGCTATAGAATTATTTCTAAAGAATTCTATGAGTGAGTGAACACTGAATGCGACATCATAGATTTGAAAGGAAATTCCCAAAAGAGTGGTTTTTACAGGAAAGTAGATGGTTTCAGTTGACAGGTTTAGTCAACTAGTCATGTATTTGTATATTTATTACAAAGATTAAAGGCTATAAATATACATGTTGCATGTATGGTATGAAATGAGTACCGGTATGTAACCTATCATATGGTGCAGTGATCAACAAATGTGTAAAGCAAAGCAATGACTCCACAGACAGATTGTATACAGTGACCCCATATACATATACATGTAACATTAAGTAATATCTCAGTTTTTTCTCTGTCTTGCATATGAAAGTATGTATAGGAGGGTTCCTATGCGATATATATTGTTTTCATTATGTCTCTCCATAATTGTGCAATGCTAAAATTTATATCTGGAAAATCCATTTCATTTATTTCTTCTTCTTCTTTTTTAATTCAATTTTATTCATGAACAAAAAGCAGTAGCTAAGAAGGTCCAGGTATTACATACCGGTAAGGGGAAATAGATTAAAACTGAGAATTCATTGTTGTAATCTGGTTACCCTGCAGTAAAGATGTGCCCTTTTGAGGTATGGAGTTTCTTCATTCAACCATCACACCACAGGCAAAGTACAAATACAAGCAGAAATGGCTTAACTTTTGCCACCCCTTCCAAATCAAATGAACAAAGTATGGTAAACAAAACTTTTTGATTGTCACCAAAAGCCTGAAATACCCTAGCTAGTTTCTAGTGTGTTCAGCATACATAATAGTGACATTTTTGTGTGTACCGGTAATCTTTTTGTTGCAAGTTCACTAGTTTTTTTGTCTGTGTCAGAATATGTTCAATTCGTCTGTACAGGGCTACCAACTGCATAAAGCTAAGAGAGGCCTAGGGTGCTTTCAAATGGCTGTCATGTTCACAGTGCATTGTACAAACAACAAGAAAAGTGGTCTTTGTTGCTATTGATATGGGTTTAATTCTTGGCATGTGACTAGATATATTTCAGGTATACCCCTTTCAAAATTGCAGTGGCCTCTTTAAATCATCACCGCTTCATCTTCCCTGGAATATGGAGGAAGGTCATTCCGTAGGCAAAGCTGTTTCTACATGAATGTACTTGTTAATTGTCTAGTGGTAAATCCCATCAGTCGTTTTCAATGTCACTCGTCCATTTACTGTAATGGGATCATTAGAAACAGTCACTACATAATTATACTCGCATGTACAAGACCTAAATAGATCCCTTGAAAACAAAATCAGAAGTAAATAAGATATTGCCATTTTCATGTTCATGAATAAAATCCATGAAGGTGTTTACAAATGTTCTACTATCTAGTGCATGGGTTGAGACAGCCTCTGGTGTTTACATTTCAGACGACTTACAACCTTGACAGCTTGTGTCAAGGTTTGCAAAGAAGACTGTTTCAACAGTGTGTACTTCTGTCACTTTGAAAAATATTGCCATTGGTAAACATCTATAGTTGATTGTGAAATGATACAATATTTAAGTAGATATGGCCAGGAATGGAAGTCAGATTTGTATTCTAAAGAATAGTGGACTTGTATTTGCTTTAGTGCTAGTGGAAGTAATTGAGATATATGTTTATAATATAAACTTGTAAATAGATATTTTTGTACTGTGAATTTAAGCAATTTAAAGAATATGGTTATGGAACAAAGGCTGGTTACATGCACGTAGCTGAAATAATATTATAACGTGAGGTATTATTCTATCCAATATTTATCTTTCTCAAATTGCGGCGTGACTGCATCACAAATGCAGGTATTTGATTTTTGAAATCACTTCTTTCTTTCTTCTATAACTACAGTACACATTCTGTTTCATTGCCATGGACTGGTAGGTGGGTATTGCATTTCATTATTTATGCATTAGTTTTTTTTTTTACTTAAATGCAAAATCTAAATTGAACTGCCGTCTATAGCCTTCAGGTTTGAATAGGAGATGTGGTTTGTTTATCAGATAGGCAATATTTGTGAATTTATATTGCGGGTTACTTGTATCATTATTTTTTTTATTGTTTATGCAGG